ATTATTCTTCTAATAGTACATTCAAGAAAATAAAATGTATTTTTTATGGATAATAAGAATACCTCAGTACTTCCTACAGTAAACTATTATTTAGTTAATTTTGTTCAGCGAATAATTCTATAGGCGAATACGATTTTTATCGTTTCCCATATCATAAAACGGAAATTAAAATTTAACAAAACGGATAGTAATACAAAAATCAAGCTTTCATTAGTGTAGATATACCTACTGTGTATCATTTTAGCCTGACCTCATTTATATTACAAAATGATTTCTTCTTACGATAAGACTTTTAGGAAACATAAATAATATAATAAGAATAGCTTTTACCTACGTCTCACTCACAAAAGCTCCGTCATTTTCTATTCATTTTTGACCGACTTCAAAAAGAAGAATGTCCTCAAATCGAGTGTATGTATGTTTTTTTGTGAGATTGCTTCGCGATTTTCTTTAGGATTTGTGAATCGATTTTATCAAATCAATAAATGTGATAAATATCAAAATGATCCACACTACAAGGAGAACATTTACTTCCAAAAAAAATTAAAATGGGTTTATTTTAATTTAATAAAAAAAAAGTATGGCAGGTTGAAATCTGCTACTAATGATTTAAAAATTATAGGTATATATTTGTAAATCACCGTTGTGCAAACTTTGTTTCTAAATGATATTATGTGAAATATTTACATTAATGAAAATAAACTTAGTAGGTTGAATTTATAATAATACATTTAATTTAATACTAGATTTTGTCCACGTCTGGTATTGCGTAATATTTTGATAATGTGTTATAATTATCGTGCCGCTCCTCAGGGGTCGTAGTGTATATATATATATTCATCCGTTAATAAGTAGGCTATTAAATGCAAAAAAACTTTCACTTCCAACACATTCCAAATTGAACTTTTAATTTTAGAGATTAACACAAAATAAAGAAAACGCGTCCACTTTATAATATTAGTACCGACTTTGCAAAAGTTACTTAACTTAGTTATCTATATTTTTCAAATAAATCTCACCGTCGTTTATTGGCAAGTACATGTATTTAAATTAGTTAAGCTAAGAATCTAGTAGAAGTAATACAGTAAAAGCACGGTAATGTTACCGTGGTAAAAGGATTCGTATAGGTACTTTCTCGTGACCCTGTGTTACACATCGACTTTTTTTTGTGATAAGTAATCTATATATATAATAAAATTGTAACTAAGCCGAATCTGTACATTAGATATTTTTTTGAAAATCTTATTAAAATAAACATTATTATCGATACAGAGGCCGAATCTATAGTTTTTAGATTTTTTGTCTGTCTGTCTGTCTGTCTGTTTGTTACCGCATCACAGAAAAACCACTGGAGGGATTTTGATGAAATTTGGTATGATGATAGCTGGTTATCCGGGTCAACATATAGGATACTTTTTACCGTGGGTTACAAAGGTGGTTACAAAAACTGCAATGTAAGAGTATACTAATGTAAAACCTAAGAATTTGGCTTTTGGCAATCTGAACGCGGGCGGAGCTGCGGGCAATGCTAGTAATATATATAATCAATAATTATCATCTTTATTTACAAAAAAAAACAGTGAAATTAAAAATATACCTAATTATATATATACAAAATAAATAAAATTTTGTAAGTACACTATACAAGTTATATCCGCGTGGACTTGTGGCAAGAATGCTATTTGCATTCCTGCGTCTTCCGCGCGGGAAAAGTGTTTTTCTTCTATCTACTAAATATATACACATATACATATCGCGTCATATATATATATATATATATATATATATATATATATATATATACATATCGCATCAACGTTTATAGGTATCAATGATAATAGGTTCGAAACAAACGTTTTTTGTGTGTCTTATGATCTAGTCCATGACCACCTCTGTCCACGTCACTTTCTTTGTATTTTTGAAGTGAAACTTCTTTAGAATCGTTGTGATTTGAAGCACATATATAGGATTAAACCGACGAGAGAATGAGATAAAATACATTACACAGAAAGTGAAAAATAATAAAAATAATACTGAATAATATTTAATGTAATAATTACATTAAATGTGAAATAACTTTTAAACTTGATAAAAATATAAAAAAAAAATTAAAAAAACCTCACAATTATCCTACTCCCTCCCTGATACTCTATATTCATCTCATTCTCTCAGTTACTTTTCTGAAGTTTCACTTCTACCGTGTGTGAATTGCACACACACACACTTTTTAGTTCATCTATGTTACCAATTTTGATTCAAATTTGCTTTACTCGAGACTAAATGGCAAACATCCAAAATTTGTGACACAATCACTCCTCATTTACAAACTTCGATTTTGAAGTCTAGTATTATTTCAAGATTCCTTCGTTTCACCATACACCGATTATGGCGATTGTCTTTGAATATATCAAAATACATTCGAGAATTTATCTGTCAAAATATACCTACGTATTATAATACGTTATAACACTGTTAAGTCAATGACAAAATTAATATCTTACTTAATTTTACGTTACTGAGTTACTGTTCTCATAAATGATGATTTAAAAATCCTTCACACGCTAGGTGAAGGTCACTTAAATATAATTTATTGCTAATAAAATATTTTAATTTCACCTTAAGGTTATTTCGTATTAAATTCTACACAAAATTTATCCTCTTCAACCACTTTATCTAATCATAGAATCATAATCCACAGGCGATGTCTTGGGGGCCTTTGGGAACTTTTGAAGCTTGACTTAACTCAACGTTAAGACTAAATGTAAAAAATCTATCACATTTCTAAAACCCTATACAAGAATTAAAATTAATTTGTTGAGGTGACGGAATTATTATAAATATAAATAAATAAATATGTTGGGACAATAAGACACAGCACCATCTAGTTCCAAGGTAAGCTACGAGACCTGTGATTATGGATACCAGATAATTGATACACTACACATACACATATAACTTTAGATACATACATACATATCATAAATATAAACACCCATGACTGGAGTACGAAGTCAAATATTATTATAGATCAAATCAAATCAAAATATACTTTATTCAAATAGACTTTTACATGCTCTTTTGAATCGGCAATTTTACATTTTAAATTAAAATTAAATATCAGTGTAGTGGGTCCGTAAGGAAGCTACCTCTCATTTTTGACTTTTGATTGAAGATCTTTAAGCCTTTAGGGGTTGAATGATTGAATCAAGTATTTTCTTAATTATCTATAATCTTAGCCACATAATCCTAATTAATAAAATAATCAACTGCCCTGCATTCATAATAAAAGTATAGTGAGTTGATGAGAAGTAAATTCCAGTATTTCATATGAATATATTGAATGTGTAATAGCTATTTGTTTTATCCAGATTATACCACCGTTCTGTATTGAAACTTAATATGTAATGACAAACAAAATTTATAAATTTACTAGTTTTTACTATAATAGTACACCGACTTCAAAATCACCTAAAAAGTATTTAATTTCTCTAACAATATTGAGCATTTTTTTCTTGAAATTGATATGAAACCTTTGACCTATTTCTGAATAGAATCATGAATATTTTATTACTTTAAGTGAGAATGTCACGTAATATAGAAAAAAAATCAATCTGTAGAATATATTCTCATTTTTTAAAGTTGGTCAAAATAAGAACAGTTTTATTGATCTACGAACATTCATTTTTCCGATTCTAAAATAACTTAATATTTATGCTAAACTCATCCATCCTCGAGACAATGTGACTCAAATGGAACATGGTTTGATTTAATAATAAGTTTCATCTGTATTCAAACAATAAAATATCTATCTCTATGAATAAGAATGGTCTTCCCATATATAATTCTATTTTTATACTTATAGATACCTACCATACATGTATACATGTATAACGAAATAACTAAAAATATTATGTTCGACGAATTGTTATTTTTTATCTCAATTGAATCTTCGTTTTATCAATATACGAGGATATTACTTACATGTATAAAAAAGTGAAGGCAGTAGTAGCCCAGTGGTAATGCGCTCGCTAGGGAAACCGAGTGAAGCGAGTTCAAATCCCGGGTCTTGCACGTCTGATATATTCATGTGCGAATCATTTCCAACATGATTACCATTTGTCTTAACGGTGAAGTAAAACATCGTGAGCAAAACCTGCATGTCTGAGAGAAACTAGCAAGTTTTCAAAAGACATGTGAAGTCTGAAAACTCGCACTTGGCCAGCGTGGTGGACTATGGTCTGATTCCACTCGTACTGAAGGGAGGCCGGTGCCCAGTAGTGGGACGTTAAATAGGGCTGAATTCAATATAAAAAAGTCACCGGCGGGTTGCATCTTTCTGTACGTATGTACCTACTCGTATATGCGCGCTAATCTTGAGAACTAATGAACTGGATGCGGTTTTGTCTACTAGTATTATTGTAAAAATTGAAAAATGCTGCTTAGTACATGCACTCGGCATGCACTGATAAATAAAAGTAATGTATGACAAATTACAAATAAATAAATATTTTGGGACATTAACACACAGAACAACAGAATAGAAAGCTACGAAGCTTGTATTATGAATACCAGATAGGTGATACAGTACACTTATTTAAACTTTAAATACATACATATTAATATAAACACCCATGACTGGAGTAGAAACACTATCACTACAAACTGAACCAAACGTGTCATCAGTTACAAAAATTTATATTATAGAATAAATATATTATTAAATACATACAAAATAAATAATAAAATTACGAATAATTATAGAGATGAAATAATAAAAAATGGAAAAAAGCGCGACTTGCGCCCATCCTTATTTAACTTATACATACATACATGTATGTGTGAGGTCGCTAGTAAATTATGATTGAACATACAGATTATTCTAGCTTTTCTATTTTATGAACTATTTCTATCCTCGAATTAAACTCTGAACATATCATATCATCTCTAACACCTGCTATATATGTATATTATTGTTACAGGTATGCAAATGAAGAAGCAAAATGCGTTACATTACATGTATATACATTTTATTAATTATATCCGGAGCTTCTTTAGAAACGTATAGTTTCATCGATTATTGGACGAACTTATTTCGACCATTGCCTCGAAATATTAAAGAAGGATTTGTACCAGACTACACTCCAAAAAATGGTCAAGAGTATGACTTCATCATAGTTGGAGCCGGATCGGCGGGATGCGTTTTAGCTAATAGGCTTTCAGAAATATCTCAATGGAAAGTATTGCTCCTGGAAGCGGGAGGTAATGAAAATTTTTTCTCAGACATACCAATATTTGCTCCATTTCTTTCAATAACTCCAATGAATTGGGGGTATACTGCAGAGCCCGAACAAAAAGCATGCAGAGATCTTAGAGGAAACGTTTGCTACATGCCGCGTGGCAAAGTACTTGGAGGAAGCAGCGTCCTCAACTTTTTAATATACCAACGTGGCCATCCTGAAGATTACAACGATTGGGTCCGAATGGGTAATGAAGGTTGGAGTTACAATGAAATCCTTCCTTATTTTAAAAAATCTGAAAATATACATATAAAAGAGTTACGTAATTCAACCTTCCACGGTGTAGGAGGTTATTTAGATATTGACTATGCAACTTTTGGTACACCGTTAAACGAAGCATTTAAAAGGGCTAGTGAAGAACTCGGCTACGAATGGAATGATCCAAATGGAGAAAACGTAATTGGGTTCTCAAAACCCCAAGCGACTATTAGAAACGGCCGACGGTGTAGCACATCTAAAGCTTTTTTGGAGCCTGTAAGAACGAGACGAAATTTAAAAGTGTCTAAATATTCGATAGTAACAAAAATTCTCATTGATCCTGTCACAAAAATTGCTAATGGAGTAGAATTCGTGAAATATAATAAAAGGTATTACCAGTCTACATTAATTATATGAGTACAACGTTTATTTCATAGCATAGAATTAGTCAATCGTATATGGAAAAAGCATGAATTCGTCCATGGGAAAAAGTTATATTATAAGGAAAAATATTATTTAATCATAATAAGAAATACATATTTTGCGCACATACCTAATGTGTATGCAGAGCGCGCGCTTACTTATTAACCAATAATAATGAAGGTAATTAATAAGTTTATAAAATTGGCTTTCATTTAACAAATTATGTTAAACTACAATTTCATTAAATACGATTTATCAGCATATTGGAAAGGTAACACATTTTTTATAATTAATATATATTAATTGGCAGTATATAAAATTAAAATGTATGAAATTACAATTTCATAGCAAAATTCATAAAAATAAAATCTAACCATGCAAAAGAGACTATCATCAGTTAGTGTCGTCCCTTCTATTTTCACTTATCGCTCTTAATCTATGCTCGTGAATAAAAATCATATTTTTCAATCTTACGAATTACAATTTGCCACAATTTCTAATTCAAACAATAAATAAGTAACGAAGTATTTTTTGCAATATTTAAGTTAATTCATGCAATCAAAATTATAAAGAGGCCGAGTTTGTTTGTTTGAATGCGCTAATCTCAGGAACTACTCATCCGATTTGAAAAATTCTTTTTGCTTTAGATAGCCCATTTATTGAGGAAGGCTATAGGCTATACATCATCCCGGAAAATGTACGGTTCCCGTAGGATAGATTTGTTTTTGTCTAGGGACGAACCCGAAGCGAAGCGAGGGTGAGTCGCTAGTTCTTTAATAAAGAAGCTCATCGGACTCTTCATAGCCATTTTAAAATAAGTCAAATCTGAGTGAGTGAGAACTAGGTAAGCGAGAAAACTTTGTAAGTGAGAGTAATTACCAGGTCCCGTCACTTTATCCCTCTAAAAAACAGAGAAAAAGAAACCTCTATAAGAGAAAATCGTTTTTCATCCGTAGACTTCTACAACTGAGACTGCTACTAGCCTTTATCTCTATATGCGACAGTTGAGCGAATTTAAGCTATTTATGGCTTAAATTTTGTGGACTTAACAATGTTTTTGTGTCCTTAAATTTCGAGAAACTAATGTTAATTCCTAATCAAATTGTAATTGATAATACCTATATACGTACGTTCATACATGTCTATCACTACACATTTGCTATATTTTTTTAAACCTCTATAAATGAGAAAGGCCACTTCGGTACCTTAATACATAAGCTAGAAACTCGGGTTAGTGAGAAACCTCCATAAGCGAGAAAGAGATCGCGGTCCCTTGAATTCTCGCTTATTACAGGTCCGACTGTATGTAAAAGAAAAGCATTAATATCAATACATAAACATTACCATACTATTTTAGGAGAAGGATATTCGCTCGTCGAGAGATTATCTTAGCAGCAGGCACAATCGGTTCTGCGCAATTGCTGATGCTGTCGGGTGTGGGACCAGCAGAACACCTTCAAGAACTGGGTATCAACACTCTAGTCGATTTGCCAGTGGGATATAACTTACAGGACCACATCACCTTTTCTGGAAATGCATTCATTGTTAATAGTACTGGACTCTGTGTAAACGATGTAAATAATAAAAATATGATAATTGGCTTTTTATTTTAATTTTGCAAACCAAGAAATATTTTAACCAGGAATAGCATTGTTGTAGAAGTTCAAGGGTTCGTTCGATGAGGGACTTAGATGTATGGCACCAATAAAAACTTTTTAACAAAAAAATAAAAACCGACTTCAAACAAAATCACTAAAAAGTAACAAATAACTGATTAGTAGTTTTCATTTACTATACATACCTAATCAAATATTTTCGAAGTCGGTGTGCTTTGGCTAAGTAATTAAATACATAATAAATAATAAAGCTAAACAGTCAGCAATAACGCTTAAAAATACTTTTGCTATTATGACTTAAATATTAACAAAAATCAATTTAAAAGTATATTTTTTTTAGATTATGGCTGCATCACCGACGGCCGCAGCATCTTACATGTTGGGTTATGGACCTTTAACTATTCCCGGTGGTGCGTCGGGTCTCGCCTTCATACAGACCAAGTTCGGACGAGATTTGGCCGAAGGACGCCCTGATATTGAGTTAGTGATGGGCGCTGGATCGCTGGCTGGAGATCTGTTTGGTATTATACGCTCTATGCTAGGTATGTTTGAGTTATATTAGACTTAATAAGGAATAATAAAATATGTATACTTGTATAGGTACTCTATGTAGAGTTCACTATGATCGCGATAGTTCATAACAGTATAATTCTAACACGGTATTAATTGCTTTTGGTCTCATTAAAAAAAGGCAATTCATAAAGAACTATCCAGAATCAATTAATTTCTTTACCGAGTGGCGTAGGAAGTAGATTGCATTTTAAATTGTTATTACTACGCTTAGACTGTATATTATAGCTAACGTAGTATGTGCTCATTAAACTAGAAAGGGATTATAACTTAAACACCTAAAAAAATATTATTCATTTGCAGGAGTAACAGATGAATGGTACAGAGAAGTATATGGATCATTACCATTGAAAGATCGTCAAAATTCTTTCGCATTAAATCCCGTACTGATACGACCCAGAAGCGTAGGACGCCTCACACTACGCTCTAGTAACTTTAGCGATCAACCTAGAATACAACCAAATTATTTCAACCATCCAGAAGATTTGCAAACTCTGAAGGAAGGAGTCCGATTTGTAAGTATTGCATGATGATTTTAATTATATCTTTCATGTTTTGGAAACGGTTAGTGTAGCACTGGAACTATGTTCTTTTTTTTGAATAGGCTTATTATAGAATACCCGATTAATTAATAAGCCGAAATTTCTCGTAACAAAACCAACTGTATAGTTTTATATGGAATAAAGAATTTATTAGACCACTAGCGACTCTTGCTTCGCTTCGGGTTCGTCCCTAGACAAAAACAAATCTATCCCATTGAAACCGGACTTTTTTCCGGAATGAAATATAGCCTATAGCCTTCCTCAATAAACCAGCTATCTAAAGCAAAAAGAATTTTTCAAATCGAATTAATTGTTCCTGAGATTAGTGCGTTCAACCAAACAAACTCTGCCTCTTTATAATATTACAGTATAGATTAGACTGATGTATTGTCTATACATTGTGATTTCAGACGTCATTTATTAACTTTTAAAACCGACGTTATATGATAATAGTTTATTTAAAAACACTGTCTACGTGTTTATTGTATATATGCTAATTGACCCCGCGAGGTCATCACATTAGCTACTTCAAATTATTTTAACCGTTCAATGTCCATAGCCATCCATAACCTTAAACTTGTGATGAAACCATTATGACATAATATTTTGATTTATCATTACTTATTATGGTAATAGAATTTGCATAAGTCATAAAATTTAACCTTTACCTACATCATTTAATATTGATTGGAATACCTATAAGTAGTAGTAAACAGCACGTATACTCGTATAGAGTAGTCTAAATCTGTGGTACAATTTTTAATAATAATACGTACATATTTAATATATAACTAGGGACTTATCCTCGCTTTACTCGGGTGCGTCCCTTGGGCTGGGTTCATCGTCTGGGTAATAAATAAAAACAGTTATTGTGAGTGTACCTTAGCTATTGCGGACTTTTATGGAGGCCTTTTTAAAACCTACAATTTAATAGTACCTACAATGTTATTATAATAGAGATACAACCTCTAAATGCTAGCCAGCGTTAGCTAAGTAAGCGTATGAATAGGTACATTTTGACAAAATACACCATTATAGTTCAGCCCTTTTGTACAAAGTATGTACAAATTATATATACAAAGCTCCCTCATTTATCTCTCTTTCTGGTGGTTGTGGTGGTTTAGAACAAGAAAGCGGCCAGTAACAGAGGCAGACTTTTTTATACTATAATTATGTATTTTTCCCATTAACATGATATTACTGTACTAAATTGTTAAATATGTTATTTTTAATCTTACTACTAATAGTAATTTTTGTGTCATAATTTTTTGAAATTTTTGTATGAAGGACAAGAAAGGCCGATCCAGATATTGTGTTTTCCCGTGGAAATGAAAACTTTTCCTGTAGTAAAAGGCATAAATGTTGACCTGAATAATAAGTTATCGCTACACAAAATTATATTATCTTGTATATATATTTTTGTTATTTATATATTTTATACCTACCTATTTAGGCACAAAAAATAATAAAAACAAGAGCATTTCAACGCTATGGCACCAAATTACACGACAAGCCATTCCCCAAATGTGAGAACCTTCCCTTCGACTCGGAAGAGTACTGGGAGTGCGCCATCATGCAAACGTCAATTACTTTAGATCATCAGGTAAGCAACATTTATTTGTTTTGCATTATATATTTTTTATATTATATCCATATATATTCTTACTTGTGAATTCGATTTGTAACTGTGATTTTAAAATAGTATTCAATACAGAATTCATAATGATTATTTAGGTAAAGTAAATGACAACAAGGCCTAGAAAATCAAACTGAAGAACCGATATAAAAATTAATTATCTTTTTCTCCGTCTGTTTGAATCCGCTAAGCATTATAGATAGAATCATTATAGATAGACGTACGTTGTGATATTTTTAATCCCAAACAGGTACATGAAGGAATTCAATTAAAAATTGTATGCTACCACTAAACTATTTAAAAATTACTAAAAATTGTAATCTTAATACTATAAATGTATGTTAAATACCATCAACAATCCGCAGATCATGTACCCGAAAATCTCACAAACCCACATTTGGGAAGGAAGTTAAACTGATGTCACACTCCCGTGTCTCGAAGAGCTCGTAAAACGATACGTATGATCGCGACTGATTGTTATCTAACATCTTTTTAAGTAATGGAATATGTAGATTAATAGAGAATATACTTACATAAATATCTAGTACCTGGGCGATCGAGCTTCGCTCGGAATTTCCGGCCAAAAGTTCATTTTTTTTTAAAACTAAGAAATTGAATAAATACAAAAAAAAACAAAGGTAAAAACTTTGTGTCCGACCGGGATTCGAACCCGGACATATAGTCAATCGTGCGCCTTGGCCGGTAGCTTATGCCGGCAAATGCAAAATTATCGACCACATTTTCAGACATAAGACTAATCTAGATCGATTTTTCGCCCCCGAAAACCCCGAAATACCAAATTTCAGCGATATCCTTAGAGACGTTTCCGGGATAACCGGTATAAATAAATAAATAAATATACAAGAATTGCTCGTTTAAATAGATTAGATATGCTCTTGTACACCATAATATCTCGCGTAAGACTACCTACCTAATCTCACTATGACTGAAATTTAGTTTCGCGATACATATATAGAACTATATATTCATGGTATTTTTCAATTGACATTCAACAGCTTTCATTTGATTTAAATGAAATAAAAATAATGTACGTAATAAAGATAGTTCGCTACCATTTCAGTCAAAACAAATAGCGCTCCAAATAATTGCTTATTGTGAATTTTACTCAAACGAAACTATGTTGAAATAAAAACATTACGAATGTTCTACTTACTCTTTTCAAATTTATATATTTTTCCAAAGGTTATACAAACATAAATTACTCATTTATTTCTCTTTCATGTAATTTAAACTAAGCGCTGTTCATTAGTTAGTTAACATTTATAAAAACATTTATCGAAATGCATGTACTACTATTGTAAGTTTTAAAAAGTTTTTTTTTTTATTTATTAGAAAGATACACTATCGGCTTATCATAATGACACTATATGTAATTATTCTAACATACTTATATATGCAATTAGGTATGATTCGCCTTTACAGGTGTATGAAAGAGCATTCTACTTACAATAGGTAAACTAAATCTTTACAGACTGCACAAAACAATATAATTTAACTAGATATTACTTTTTGTCTGTGACTTTCCTTGCATGGAAAGCGAGAAACGGCTGTGTCCATTATCACATGTTGCAGGAAAGAGCTATCTATGTCCATTATCCGTCCTCATCATACATTAAACTACATCCCTGTAAAATTTCATCCAAATCTGCTCAGCGGCTTAATTAAAAGTGTAAAGGACAAACAGAATTACCTTTACATTTTTTTTATATTAAGGTACTAGATAGTTAATTAATAACAAAGTCGTATTACATTGGCATATTTAAGCAAATAGTCCCAACTAGAAACGCGGCATTAGTCAAAATATTAACCTAAAATAATATTAACAGATATCTTTGCGATATTTAAAAACAAGCGTCAATTGATAAGTGCAAGTTTTACTCGTTTGCCGAGGATTCTGTAAATAAATTTTTATCCATATCATAGTATGTATTTTTTCATAAATAAGTTTACGACCGTTAAAGTAACAAAGCTTATTTAAACAAGATTATAATAATAGGTAACGATAAATGTCGCATATCTCAAGAACTACTTATTACTTTGTATGTATGTATGTATTCAACCCTTTCTAACGTCCCACTGCTGGGCACGGGCCTCCCTTCAATACGAGCGGGATCAGGCCATAGTCCATCACGCTGGCCAAGTGCGGGTTGGCGGACTTCACATATCTTTCGAAAACTTGCTAGGTTCTCTCAGACATGCAGGTTTCCTCACGATGTTTTCCTTCACCGTAAGGCAAGTGGTAATCATGTTAGAAATGATTCGCACATGAAAATATCAGAGATGCAAGATCCGAGATTTTGAACCAGTTTCACTCGGTTTCCCAAGCGAGCGCGTTACCACTGGGCTACCATTGCCTACTTAACATATCGTATACAAAACAATTTTCTTTAAAAGTATTTGGGAAGTATCTACCTTTTATATATTTTTTTTATTTTTCAACATTTATGTATTGTAATTTTAAAACATTACATCTCATAAACCCATTAACACATTTATAATAAGACAGTTGACGAACCGTGTTACAATTTTATTACATACCCACAGACTAAAAATAATAATTTAAAAAAAGTGTTACAAATAGTCATTTAATTTTTTCACAGGTGGGCACATGCAAAATGGGACCAGATAGTGACCCAACAGCTGTTGTTTCTCCCAGATTACTCGTACGAGGTATCCAAAGACTTCGTATTGTAGATGCATCCATCATGCCACGGATCCCTGCTGCACATACACATGCCCCAGTTGTTATGATCTCTGAAAAAGCTTCTGACCTAATCAAGGAAGACTGGAATAAACTTTAACATATTTATTAGAATAACATTTAATATTTATAGGTCAAACATATGATAATCCAAAGAATATATTTAATGTCTCAAATATTGAAGTAGTTTGAAGTAGCCACATAATTTACTATTTCATCTTCTCTTACTTAAACAAAATTGCATATCTTTGTTGTATTTGACATTTTTTTAAATAACAGATATTTGACTTTAATTTAATATATTACCAACTTTAGTACCTACCAATAATGAAGTGAAATCTTCTGAATTGTCATTTTAAATATTAATAATTATCAAGAATTTCTGTCTTATATTATTGTATTCTTTACCTTACAAGTCATAATTGTAATAAATACAAGTAGAACAAAATTAAGTGTAAAATTTATTTCATCCCATAAGTAATTAAAAAAATAATACAACCATTTAACACTTCAAATTTTAATTATGACTACATCTAAATAAGTATAATATTAGGCTGAAGACATTCCAGTTTTTGTTTTCCTATTAAGCTTTCTATATAAAAATGCTAAGCGTTTTTCATACTCCTTCCATTTTGTTGGTCTGAGCCGAGGAGTTGGACTGTTAGCAAACATCTTCCTCTTTCTTAGAAGAATCTAGAATAAGGTTATTTATAAAATATCTCAAATTCACATGAAGATAAAAATGATTTTTTTTTAAATAATTTTACTCTCAGTTGATTGATATAAAATAATAATATAATTAACTAATACATATAATTAACTAAATAAACCTTACATGATATTCATGCCCTTTTACACCTCTGATCCAAGATGGGACTGTGTACAAAGTCTTTACTGGATGTATTTCACCAGAGCCAAGTATATCTATGTAGTCATTTTGTCCAAACAATGCTCTACGTTCCGTCCAAGAATTTCTTGGTCTAAACCAAAAAAAAAGTTAACAATAATTATATATTTGACATGTCTTCTAAATAACACTTTCAAATTTAATAAATGTTATAAATACCTATATTCTGGCATTGGTATCAACCTTTGTTCAGACCTTGGCAATAAACCTCCACTCCATATTTTCTCTTCATAACCATACCTTCTCACAAGTCGTGTTTTATCTGCATGATATCTTGTTCTACAGAAAATAATAAATAGTACTAGTATATTATTAAATTATTACACACTACAAAACTAAATTTTACTATGGTAGTTTTCTAACCTAACAATATTCACTGTGGGCCGCCAAAGTGATTTAAAGATTGTTGAGCTGAGCCACTCCATTATTCTAATTAATATATAAGTAATTAATATTTATAGTAAAGAATACACCATTTTTATTATAAATTTCAATTTAATTGCAAAGATTGCAATGAAAAAGAAATGTCACATGGATAATGGATAATGGAAATTGACAATTGACATTGACAACCACAGACCAGGGTTGACATTCAACAGTAACATTATCAGACTATAGAATATGAAGTATAGACAAACCATGTATATGGAACCATGGAAGATAAAAATTAAAATATTTCACCTAGAAAACGTAGGTTATTTACCATATACAAAAAAAATTATATGTACCAGCATTAGCGGCTCCGCCCGCGTTCAGATGACCAAAAACCAAATTCTTAGGTTTTACATATTAGTATACTCTTACATTGCAGTTTTTGTATTTTTTCTCAGAAATGAGACATTTTCCCGACGTAAAAAGTATCCTATACGTTGACCCGGTTAACCAGCTATCACCATACCAAATGTCATCAAAATCCATCCAGTGGTTTTACTGTGATGCGGTAACAGACGGACAGACAAAAATTCTAAAAACTATAGTTTCGGCCTCTATTTCAATAAGATTTTCCAAAAAATATTTAATGTACAGATTCGACTTAGTTACAATTTTATTATATGCATAGAATACAAATAAGATAAAATAAAATAAAAATATCTTTCATAGAAACCAATACTTTAAATAAATCACACTAGGAGAACCAGCGGCTTCGCTCGCGCTAAAACTACTAAAAATCTCTAAAAAGGTAGGTACCTAGGTTTCATACAAATTTTCATCCCCTATTTTACCCCCTCATAAGATTAATTTCGAAAAAAGCTGAAACACGTATTTATTTAATTGTATTGAAGAGCGAAATTACCAAGTTTCAAGTAATTCTAATCTTAAATAAATTTTTGGATTTTATTATAACGTATTTTCCCGTGAGAATGAAATGATCTCCCGCAATAAAAATTAGCCTGTCACTCTCCTATCAGCAGTACGGAGGATGTACTGCGCCGACCCCAAGTGATTGGGAAATGGGAAAGGAGAAGAAGACTTTCCAAAAATCACACCAATTCATCACTCCGTTTCGAAGTAAAAGAAAGACAAACAAACACACTTTCACATTTATAATATAGTATGGTTAAGTATCTTTAAAACGTGGGTAGTGGTTTCATTCTCTTGGATATAAATAGCACGCGCTGTTCCATTATATGCATATAACGTTCAATATGAGTAAAATCTGTGAACAATTATTATTTTATTATGATCCTGCTAAGATGCAATACAATAAGTAAATACTAATATCGAAATAAAAAACAACCAAATCAAATATCTTTATGTACGGATAAAGCATTAAAAATAATGTACCTATGTTAAAATCTATAGATTTTGATTTATGTTTTGATATCTATATTTCAATTAAACAAAATGGCTGAATTGCTTTGAAATTTATTGAATTTCCTGAGAAAAAGTTTTTAATATGTGCGTACTTCAATAAATTTTCTTAAATTCGTAGTTTTATTATAATTTTTTACAATCCAGTGAGTAAATTTGTTTATAATTTTGTTGGTTTTACCTATATGATAGTTAATCCGCGCATTTGCGTTGTTTGTTTACTTGTTATGTTTTTACTGTTGAGTTTACCTAAACAATATAGACGCTCTTTTTAAATATTAATTGTGGTATAAAATTTAAAAATAAAAGTAAACATAATATTTTTTAATTACAGAAACTCTTAAATTATGTCTAAAAAAGAACCAAATGATCGAAATGAGAGAAGGTTGGATTCAAGTGATTATGAAAACTTAATATCTCAACATAGTATTTTTGAAACTAAACCTAAACATCAGGAACTACCAAGTTTTCCAGGATTTTCAAACGCAGAAACCCAAACGAAACCAAGTGATATAAAGGGACAGGGTTTACAAAGTGGACTTGGTACTTGGCACTATAACCCTTGGTGGATGCTCGCTAGTACATCTCGGAGTGTTCCGTCCCAGGATGATTTCTCAGAAAGTAGTGATCAAACAAAAGTGAAACAAGAACCTAGTGGAGCAGGAACTCCTGACCCGGATCCTTTACAAAGTGACTTAGACCAATTCCAAACAACTCCTACACCGCCACCTCCAGCAGGATTGGACTCTTTCTGTGATGATTGCTCAGATCCATTCTGCGACTCTAGTGTGGCCATATGTCGTAAACTATTTCACTGCCCACATTGCAGAAAGAGTTATCCCACCATACTCGAATTCAATACACATCTCACAGGTGTTCATCCTGCTCAAAAACCATTCAGATGTCAAATTTGCTTGGAACCATTCTATAAAAAATCTCACTTACGACGACATTTAGATGCAAGTCATACTCGGAAAGATGTAAACAAATGTTCAGTGTGCTCAAAATACATAAAAGATAAGAGTAACTTACGTAAACATATGCAAGTTCATACAGGTCGTGTACCGCAGAAACAATTCAAATGTGATTTATGTAACAACAAGCGCTACATGTCACTGGAGAGACTCAATAACCATAGAGTAGTCTGTACCGGTGAAAAAGTATTGAAATATTGCGATATGTGTACAAAAGTATTTGATAATTCACGGTCCCTTAATAGCCATAAGAAAGTGCATGCAAGGGAATTAAAATGTGAAAATTGTGGGGAGCAGCTCCGTTCTTTGGAGCAATTTAACAATCATAAACTAATCTGTTTAGGAAATTCACAAGAAGCTGGTGGCAGTGCAACAAACACTAGTGGAGCTGGAATGAACCGTTGTTGTACACAACCTGGGTTGTGTGAGCATGACAAGCCAGCCTATTTGAACATACCAAGTTATGCTGCTGCTAGAGTATTAGACGCTACACTTTCTTCAGTAAAATCTGAAATGAACTGATGGCACTTAATATGATTAACATAACATGTAAATGAAATTTTTTTTCTGATTTTTTTATACAGATTACAGTAATAATTTACACAATTGAGAATTTCACAAGACTGATGCAAATATCCCGCCTCACAACTTGCTTTATTATTACCATTTAAATTTAGGATGTAGTTTAAATGAATATGGTTAGTTTAATAAGCCAACAATTACCATTTGAGCATATTTAAACAGATGTACTGGTGTTACATGACAACTCCTATTTTGTGTGTTTTATAAAGGGTTATGGGAATGTGCTCAAATGGTTACCCACCTCTTATTTTGTACCATAATGTTATATTACACCTGTAAGTTTTCCACAAATCAGCTTTACTAATTACAAACCAGACCAGACTTAAAATATGTACCTTTGTAAAATGGCAGATATTATTTATTATTTGAATGTTACAATGCCTTGACTGATTTAGAATAATGACTATTAGTGTGCAGTATTACATTAAACATTTTTTATTTTTCTATTTTGGAAAATTGTAAGAGCTATATTATTTTTATAATTTTTAGAATTTATAGATGCTTAGTTTTATGTATAAATGGTTGGCAGTTTGTGGAGGATGTACAAGAAGCATACTCTATTTTTCCAATGCTCTTTATACATCACTCCATATATATTTTAAATTGTAGTTTTATATTCATTATTATTATGTAATCAGAATATTTTCTAAAGACACCTACATTTGAAACTTGTGTTTCACAATATTTAATCTAGATTCTAGATGAACTTTTTAAAGTGCAATGATGACATTTGGCTAAGCCATATACATGTTGTGGTAATGTAAAGTTTTGTTGAGTATAGTAACTCAAAATATTTATTCTTGAAGTGTTATACACAGAAAGCTATATCCATGGGATTATAGTTAAGGGATTATTAAACCTGGGGAAAAAATGAGTACAGAACAAACTAAATTGAAAATATGAATAGATCTGGTATAGAAAGTCCTTATTAAGAGAAATTCTCAAATAAATTACATTTTATGTAAACAAATAATGAATCTATAATGAGGCTTTATAGTATTGAAGAAGCCTTACTAACAGCTGTTTAATGAATAAATATTATAGTTTCATGTTCTATCTTTAACAGACATAATATTTAATCATATTATTTTATTACAAGTTATTCAAAAATAAGACTTCTATTTCGAGGCTTTTTAGTTGTTGCTATTTACAATTGTTTTTACATATAATGTGTTTATTTTTTAGCATTAGTATAATTTAGTTTTATATTATTATGATACATAATCTTTATACTGGTGACACTTATTGTTTATATAAAGTTACACTCTTATTAACAAAAGTACATGGTTGGTACCTTATTATGAAGAGGTATTGGTCAATTACAACATAGACAATAAACATCAGATGTTCAAAATTTTGATGAAGCATTTTCAAAGCTAAAAAATCAAGTGCAAGCAGTTACAAGAATATTGAATATAGTTCTATTGAGTATAATAGTAAATTCTAATTTAAATCTTAAGTTAATATGACTCCTTATTGGTTAAGACGTTAGATCGCAACGGCAATATTATTATTAAACTTGTTCAATTATTATATTTACAAATTGATAAAGTTTATGCCGCATATGTTAACGTTATTAAAATAGAATTGTTGATTATTTCCAAAGAACCTAACTTCAGATTTTTTTACTGAATGTATGCTTATATTTATATAAAAGCTTAATAATATATCAGTGACTGGATATTTATTTATTTCGTATTTATCACCGAAATTAATAAGGGCTACATTGTTTTTAAGTTTTTTACTAATTTAGTGTCTAGTGCAATGGTACAAATAATCAGACTTAACCTAACGAATTTCTCTGTAACAAGATTTTCAAACAATTTAACAGTATATGTTTATTTCCTTTGTAGAATTTAGTATGGTGTTACATATACATAATTTATGCACCTAGAGTAAGAAAAAATGTGTTCATATGAATTTAGTTATGATAGAGCATACCTAGTTATATCTCTATTACAGTAGTGCTGTAGACTGTAAAACAGTGCAATTTCCGCTAAGAAAATCTTTTATTGCCACTGAACATATATGTTATCTTTAGTTGCATTATGGATATTGTTAAGCCAAATATATTGTACCAATGTAGTCGACTTCAACATCTGTGGGGTAATTCTGAAAGCAAGCTGCTACCGTTACCTAATTCAGTAAAGAAACCTTTCGTTTAAGATCATAGATATTAGCTAACAAACAAATATTGTAACGAGACGATCTTCACGAATAAACGAAATTACTTTCCGTTAAGTTTTGTTTTATTATAATTTAAATATTCTAAAAACTTTATACAATATACTTTAGGATAGATTTGTGTTGTTCGCAGTCTCTAGACTGAGCAGTCCAAGTCTTCATGGTTAGAGTTTGACCATGCATCCATTATTGGCTGGCCCAACCTTTAGACTAGAAGTCAATTTATAAAATGGCTGTGACAGATGAACATAGTAAGAGTTCTGATTTAGCCATTTAGCAACAGAAGCCTAAAATAAATTTAAAGTACCCCAGATGAGTGAGAATAAAAAAATAATGACTATTAACATTTTAATATCTGTAAAAGAAAATAAATTTAGATTACAACTCTTCCTCTCTTGACAGCTGCTTTCACAATTTTTGATTTTTTCTCTTTTTTCTTTTTAGAAATGTTTTCTTTCCTCTTCTTTTGTCTCTCTTCTTTTTTATTTTCAACACTTTGAATTCTATTTTCCCATTTCTTTTTACTGACTTTCTTCTTTTGCTCCTGTAAGAATAAGACAAAGTATGTACATATTTTTAAATGTCATGGCACAAAATAAATGCCTCCCTGGAAGTGGAGATATAAAATACCAATCTCCTTTGTGTCTTCACCATTATACATGAGATAAAAAATATTAAATCTGTAAATAAAGTTTTTATAAGTTTCAATTATTAATAGTAAAAACAAGTTCTTATTAAAAATTATATTATTAAATGGACTAGAACAACACATCCTAACTGGATAAGGTAAGGTGTTTATAAATTTGACACCATATAAATGATAGTCTAGTGGACTGACTGGTGGTTGTGGATTTGACTTCTGGGTTGTGCGAAATATAGGGTTTATCTGTTATGTATATATGAAGCCCTCGATAACAGCCTGGAGTCAATATTCACATACATCTAAGAAAGCATTCATTTTCAACTATGTATGTGCTTATATTTAAGGTGTTGTTGAAAATATTATTTATATAATATAATTACTCACCATTTTCTTGATAGATTTTTTCAATAGATTTGGATCATCTTTAACTTTTTCACCTTCTGCTTTTTGTAAAATATTCGTCCAAGCAATTTTTTCTTTTAACTCCTTTGCTTTATTGATGTCTGTTTCTGCTAATTTTTGGAATTTCTCTTCTTGCTGTTGAAGATTATCTAATATTTTTTTAGGATCTTTTTTAGATTTCATTCCTCTATCTGTAATAATATTTTTACAGTTTTAAATTACTGACAAATTAGACAGTTATGGGCTTTGTGAATAATAAAAGATGATTTTTAATTTATGAGGAAGATGTAAATTTAGAATTTTTTATCTTATATCTTTTAAACGAGGAATCTTGTATCTTCTATATAATCAGAATCTTGGAAACGGCTCCAATGATTTTCATGAAATTTAGTATACAGGTGGTTTCGGGGGCCATAAATCAATCTAGATTTGTCTTATGTCTGGGAAAACGCGTGTTTTAGAATTTTCACGCGGTTTTCTTTCACATAATTCCACGCAAAATATGTTCTATGATTTAGCAATCTCGGGTAAAAGCATCATGGTCAAGCGGCCAAGGCGCAAGATTGACAATCATAGGTGTCCGGGTTTGAATCCCGTTCGGATACAAAGGTATAATTTTTTTTTGTATTTATTCAAGTTTTTAGTTTTTTTTTAAGAAAATTGTACTATTGACCAAAAACTCCGAGCGAAGCTTGGTGGTGGCCCCTTTCTATTTATAAGAAATATGAAGCGATGGAGTAGAATTGAAATAATTTAACAAAAACATTGTTCTGGTGTGACATATTTCAAAAGGATCTTAGCCTTTCAAAGCATGCAGAGCCACAGGTGGCTCGTTTACCAATTAATTTCTTAGAATTTAACCATGAGGCGTTAAGATTCCCAAACAAATACCAGAAACCATGAAATATTATTTTTTCCAACTGTATATACATTATAATTAGCCATATATATGTAAAAAATATAATAACATGTTTGAAATTTTGATACATACCTTTGTCACCCAACTTAGCAAAATCAAACTTAGAAAATACTAATTTGCCCTCATTGTTAAATATTGGTTTTGCCATATTTACATTTGTATTAGGTTTAACCTTGTTGTCATTTTCGGATGCATCAAGTGTAGCTTTAACTTTATGTTTATTTAGCTTAACCCTTTCTTTTTTCTTAATTTTCTTGTTTAGCTTACTGCTTAAGCTTTTCTTTACCAATTTACTTTTAAGATTAAATTTATTCCGAGATTTTATTTTTTCTAATTTTTCTTCTAACTCCACAATACTACGTGCTCTATGTGGAAGTTCCTTTTCATTTTGGCTTTTTTGATTATTAGTTATTTCGATATCCATCTGGCTGTCATCATCGTCTGAAACACCATTATTTTAGCTTTTATACATATAAGTCTAAAATTATAAAAAAAAAACAAAACATGCATTACTTTATACCTTTCTTTTGTGACGGTATTGTTACTGCTGAAAACATATTTTTTAGAAAACTTAATTCCTTGGAAAGTTCATTTCTCAACTGATTATTTTTTATTGGCTTTTTATTAGTTACTTGAACAGTCATTTTTATTTTCTATTATTTAGTATAATAAATACAATCCGATGACAATTTTTCACATGCAATCCAATGACAGCACTCAGCAGTACAGCACATTCATAAAACTTAATATTTTAAAATAAAGATTTAAAGATACAATAAAGATTCATAAGTCATAACCTCTTTGTGAATGAATTTATCAACATGACAGATAAAAGCACGTTGTTATAGTTTTTTATTTGTCATCCATGTTTATTATTATCTACAATTTTTATACCAATGTGCTTTTAGCACAAACTACAACAATAATAATGTGCGTTCAGTTTTGCAGAAAACACCAATTATAATTTTGTAATTTTTCCAAGCATCCAAGCATAAGGATTTCTTACTTTTTCAAATTTATATATAGCCATGATAGACCCTTGATGTGTAATTTATTCTTTAAACGTTAATTATGATTTTTTTTTCACAATAGAAAAGAATTTTGCCTTTTTTCTCGCCAGATGTCGAGATCACTATGGTCCTCAGTATATTGAAAAGCTCTATATCATGGATGACAAATAAAACTCTATATCATGAATTATATAGATTAAAAGTATTAGAGACGCTATTGTCAGTGTGAAGTGTCGCAGAGTATAATACATAACCACTAGAACCCCGCGTTTTTTGACAAGAAACACCCGTTAAACACCGAGCCTGCGCGTCATTTTTCCCCGAAACAACCATTACATAAAAAAACACTCGTAATTCAAATTACATAGCACCGATTTAAAATGTTTTTGCTGTTTTGGGATTTTAAATAATCTGAGCATTTATGACAATATGTAAAATACCCTTTTAACTATTGATAATAATAATAATAATAAATAATAATAATAATACTTTATTTCACAAAAATACATACATATTGTAGTTGAAAAGCATATTGAACAGTACATTTTGAAAACAAACAATTTAGACTATCAATACAAATAATACGGTTGTCTCTGCTGCCGTACTAGGAGACCTGTATTACGGCATACAGTGCCAATCCCCCAAAATATTGTCAGAATTAAATTATCTGTTTAGTTTGCGAGTGTGCCATTTTGAGCTGTTGGTTGGTGCTATATGTATATATGTATGTGTCTGTGATGGGTGTGTGTGTTAATGTGTGTGTGTGCGTGAGTGTGTGTGCGTGTGTGAGAGAGAGAGAGTTTGTTGTGAATGGGTAGTGATTATATGAAAAAAAAGTAGTTCTTATCTGGAGTAGATCAGCAGTGATTCTGTGTTCGAGTAATCCTGTTTTAGAAGCCAGTCCGTAAGTTTATGTTTTAGGTCGTAGGTATTTAAATCTATAATGTTTAATTTTTTATGAAGGTTTCTATAAATATGTACACTTAGGACAAAGAATTGGTTTTTAGCAAACGAGGTTCTGTGTTGCACATTTGGTGGAAGGTTTGTTCGTTTATTTGAATTTGATGGGCTAACGTTCTTGTGTCTTCTCAGAGTCGACATGAGCACGAAGAGCTGTCGGACCGTCAATACGTTAGTTTCTGAATAGACTTGGGAAGTTGGGTATTTATAGGGTTTTCGCAAAATAACTTTAAGTACAGCTCTCTGTGCCCTCTCAACCCTAAGAAGACTTGCTTTACTTGCACCGCCCCAAGCAGCAATACAGTATCCAATGATCGATTGGCATAGAGCGAGGTAGGTCATTCTTAGAATTTCTAGGTTAGATGACTCCCTAAGTAGTTTAAAAGTGTGGATTAGTCGCATTATTCTAGTGACGAGAGCGTTTATATGAACATCCCACCTTAATCCATCATCAATTTGAACGCCTAAATACTTTACAGTGTCAGTTCTTGTAAGAGGGGCACAGGAACATTGTATTATCGGTGCGTCACATGGTTGGGCAATTATTGAGTATGAGTTTGGAGGTTTATTTCTGCGGCGAATAGTGAAAGGGATGTATGCAGTTTTGTTGATGTTTAGTGTCAGAAGATTTAGTTTCAACCATTTCATGATACTTTTGAGGGCATATTCAGCTTTTATCTTGACTTCTTCCCAGGTAGAACCTTTAACTATAATCGCAGTGTCATCAGCATATGCATAGATTTTACAGTTTGGGAGGGTCATTTTACAAAGGTCGTTTACATAAATTTGGAATAGAATGGGACCAAGTATACTCCCTTGAGGTACACCGTAATTAATAGTCCTTTCGTCGCTTAAGTAGGAATCAATTTTTACTACTTGCTTGCGATTGGTAAGATAATCTCTAAAAATATCCAAGGCCATACCACGGACTCCGAGGCGCTCAAGTTTCGTGATTAGCAAGGGAACAGAGACTGTGTCAAACGCCTTAGACAGATCTAGAAAAATACCAAGACATTTCTCTTTGTGGTCCATATTTTCAGCTATATATTGTGTTAGATCCAGTACAGCATCTTCAGTGGAGATACCAGGGCGAAAACCGTATTGGTTATCAGCTATAATTCTGAATCTGTCCAAATAGTCTCTTAGGCGATTATTTAAAATTTTTTCAAGTAGTTTTGAGAGGGAGGAAAGTACTGATATCGGTCTATAGTTGCTGACACAGTCTCTGTTACCACTCTTGTAAATTGGATGTACAACAGCTCTCTTAAGGGCTTCTGGAAAAACTCCCAGTTGCAAGCAGTTGTTAAAAATGAATGTCAGCGGTGGTGTTAGTTGTTTACAACATAGTTTTAGAACCAAGGATGATATTCCATCCCAACCTGCGGCACAATCACTGCGTAATTGGAGAATGTATGATTCGACCTCGAACTCGTCTACAGCCATCAAGGCAAGAGAGTTAGGAAGCGAACACATGGGAGTAGGATCAAACTGTGCGGTTGTATCATTTAGGCCGGTTTCGTTAGCTGATTGGAGTTGGGATGCCAAATTTTGACCTATGTTACTGAAATATTTGGAAACCTCGTTAATAGACACTCTGGGATTGTCCATTATTTTTAACAATTCTGAAGGACTTACGCTTACCTTCTTTGTGTTTGTAATTTCTTTAATTGCGTTCCAAAGAGCTCTAGTGTTATCTTTTGCCTTCTCTAGTTTACTCCTTTCATGGGCTCGTTTAAGCTTACGTAGCAGACCGTTGCAAAAATTCCGATATCGAGTGTATGTGGCTTTGAGCGTTAAATTATCAGGAAACTTTCTTGATTTGGAGTGTAATTTATCGCGATTTCTGATACACTTTAATAGTCCAGGTGTCATCCATGCTTTTAGTGTTCGCATTCTTCTTGGAATTGTGACTTGTCTTGTATTTTTAGCAATAATGGCTTTAATTATTGATATAATGTGATTCATTAAAATATTTGGATCCGATGTTGAGTAAATGTCACTGAAATCTGTGTTTTCCAGGTCGCTTTTGATTCCATCGTAATTTAGTTTAGATACAGTACATTGTGCCTTATGCGCAGTTCTAATATTGGATACCGCTAGGATAGTAGGCTTATGATCGGTTATGTGTGAGTCCAAAACTAGTGTAGTACTTGGAAGAGTGGTCTTTAGAAGTGTGTGATCGAGACAATTTTTTTCACGAGTAGGTAACAAATGGGTAGGAATTAGACCATGAGATGCATTTAGTAAAAGGTATTCAATGCTACGATCATTTCTAGACAGTTCCTTTATATCAATATTCAGGTCACCTACGAGAGCGATGTTTGGGTAAGATGACAGGTCGGAGTAGACGTTATTTAGGCTTATAAGGAAGTTATCGAAGTTTTCTTTGGTTTGGTATGCTGGCGAGCGATAGATTGAGACCACAGCTAATTTGTTATCTATGTTACATATAAGACAATTTGCATTATAAATATTTGGTTCACTTACAGTTGCGTTTAAGTCGGTCTTAGTGTATATGATAATTCCGTCATTTTTGTTTAGGTTCCTAGCAGTCGCATATGAGTGAAAACCATCAAGACTGGGGCAGTTATATACTTTGCTCAGCCAGCATTCAGTAAGCACAACGATATCAAAATTGATTTTCGTTCTATGTATTAGTGTTTGAAGGCTATCAAAGTTTTTGTTTACGCTACGAATATTAGTATGAAGTATATTTATGTTATTATTTGATGTGGTAATATGGTACTTACAGTCCTCAGGAGAACAAATGATACCGTTGTCTGCACTGGTGTGATCGAGTTCTTCGTTTATATTATTAATTATAGTAGCCATTTACGTAAGTTTTGAATCCAAGACACAGGGTTCGTTTATAGTAGGTACAATATGATTGTAACTGACTTGATTGTGTAAAAATGAATTGCATTTGTATATACAGATAAGAGTAAGCATAGTGTATGTTTGAATATGTGTGTTCTTGTAGTAATTGTGGTAGTAGTGGAGTTTTATCGTGTAGTGTACTGTTGAGTGTATTGTTTTTAATTTATAATGAGAGTAATAAGTAGGATATAATTTTCTTATATAAATGTAAGTAAAACATGCTTTAAATAGAAATTTGAGAAAATTAAAAGATTTTACGTTAACTAGTCACAAGATAGGGAGGATGTCATTGAGACATTTTTCGTTGTTCACTAGAATCTGTTTTTCGCCCACTTGCTTTCTTAGAAAGATATTACCATTGGAAACCCAACAGAATTTGAAATTGTTTTTCTTGGCAAATTCTCGTGCGATAAAGAACAGCTTCTTAGTGCTAGGAGATAATTTATCGGTTATATACACTGGCTGTCTCTTCCCCGCAATGCCGATGATTTCTGTATTCATTTTGTCATCCCTAGATTTTTTGGTTTTGTTGAAGGACTGGACAGAAGAAATTACTTTTTGTTTAGTTTGCACAGTTGTAAATTCGGCGATAATTGGGCGAGGAGTAGCAGAGTTGTTAGGCTTCCCAGGTAAACGATATATATCACGGAAATCTGATGGAGGGATGTGTACCCCGACGACTTTGCCAATGCTACAAACCGTTTGTATAAGGCTTGAACTAGTCTCCGATTCGTTTTGCGGAATATTGCGAATTTCAACACTCGACGATCGTGTTTTCTGCTGTAAGTCATTTATCTTTCTTTCCAGGCTCTCTATGTAAATTCTTTGTTCTTGTCGTTCTTTTTTTAGTTCTTCGATTTCTTTTTTCATTTCTTCAAATTTGTTGTTCATAAAAGAAATGGATTGCACAATCTCAGCATTAGAATTGCAAATTTCCGTATTTGACTTTTTTATTTGGGCATTTTGAGTTTTTATATCTTTTATTTCTGTTATTAGGCTAGTTATGAGGGCAGTCTGTTCACCTAACATTTTCGAAATACATGTATCTTGGTCTGTTTTCCACTCAGCTAGAGTATCTTGTAAATCTCGTAGGTTAAAGCCACTGTTTACTGCCGAGACCTGTCCGGTTTGTGGTGAATTATTATGGCGGGGACGCTTATTCCTGCTTGTGTTAACATTTTCACTCATTTGAATCGCTAAGTTGATGTCAGGTTCCGATTGCGTCATTGTTTGGTGAGCCGGTAAATTTTGTGGTGTTTTGGGTTTTTGGGGTGGTGTGCGTTGTACATTTGCCATATCCTATGTATATTATAGACTCTGAGTATTGAAAATTTTATATGCTTATGTCCAGGCGAAAAAACATTTAACTGTTTCTATATTAAAAGGCACGGATCTCATTCATTTAGTCTTCACGTAGCGTATAACACTATAGGCGTGGCTTGCGTAGCACGTATCACTGCGTCGTAGCACAGTCAATTGCACCGTAGGTCCGTAGCGCACTCGAGAGACGTCACTCGCTCGTAACTTAACGCTATTTAGAGTATCGTCGTCAGCGCTGAGGCAGCGCAGAAGTATAAGCGCTCGGCTCCTCCTTCCAGAGCAGCAGGTTCAAATCACAATCCAATAACTTAAGATTTTTACGAATGTTATTGAGCGAACATATACATCCCTTTCTGTGGCCATCTACTAGTCTCATCAGCTAATGTCAATGCCGTAAGAGTAACAAGGAAACACATTTAAACTGTGAAACACCAATCACATTAAATGCAATTTAAAATTACTAACACCAGTCGACACACGTCCACTCGCTACGGCGTCCAGCGAGGAAGGGCCAATTGATGAATTATAAATAAAAAATGATGAATTATAAATAAGCTAACAATATATGAGTGTTAGCTGAATTTACTAGTTGTTGTATTGTATTGATTTCTGACAATACCACGATCTATATTTACACTATATTTGAAACACTATTTTATGAATATACATGTAATCGCACAAAACCATTCTGTGATTTATTTATATTAGTTGTAACTAACAACCAAATTCAAAACTTTATAACACTCGCGGCTCGTTCGTTGTATTTGCGCAGCTTATCGCGCAATTTTCAAAACAAACATCCGAGTTATAATGTGTGGATTCTTAACAAAAATAATACTAAAATACAGAATAGTCCTTACTTTAAAAACATGTACCAATAAATCTTGAAAATAAGCCACTGTACTTTCTTAGATTTAAGCGAATATTTGACATTTTAAATAAAACTATCTTTTCGCGACAAAATCCGAAAAGATAGTTTTATTTAAAAAGCCACTGTAATTAAAATTTTGATGGATTTTTTATAGAGATAAAAATTGAGGTCATTTTATACAGACGCTCGTGTTGCATTGTAATTAACGTTTCTGTATATAAATGTAGCCTTAAATTATAAAAGAACAAAGTAAGTATTATCACATATAAGAAAACTTAACACTTTTCATTAAAAAAAGTAAACATTTAAAAATGTGGATTTGACTAAAATAATTTACTATAATTTACTAATAATATTTAGATGCGTAGTGATGCAGCCAATCACCCATGTAAATGTAAAGTAAATGTGTAAAAACTATCGATTATTTTTGTGAACGGCTAAACACACAAACACAATAACAATTTTTATATTCGTATATAACAATACAAAACGAAGTATTTAAAAAACCAAAATAGGTGCAATAAAATAATGTAATTTTTTGGACAAATTAGATCAAATTAGATAAAATCATTAAATAAAGTGCGATTTTTATAAAAATATGACATGAATAAAATTATTATTATAAAAAATCTAATAAATGCAAGTTTTCAAGTTTTGGCACGCAAGCTAGCTAGCTCTCGTAACGTGAAAAAATTAATTTATGTATTTTAATACATAAATATAACTTTATATATTGTTTAACAAAAACGAACGAACGAACGAAAAAAATATAACTTTATATATTGTTTATTCATCTACAATACTATTTTCATGAGTAGTATAACTTGATTTGTATTTTATTGTATTTCTATGACCAATAAGTGACAATTTTTGTATGTAACAAATTCCCGTAACTAAAAAGATACCATATAACAAAAACCACTCACATTATTCTTCAAATAATAATTAACGTTAAAAGTATATAAACAGACAAATATATATCTCAATTTAAATATTAATACCGTTTATATTTGTTATTTTTCATTAGGTTCATGTAGTTTTATATGCCCCTATCTTTTTTTTTTTAATAATAATTTTAGAAATAGAATTTTAATAATATAGCTCTTATAGTTTTAGTTGCTTCTAGTGTTGAACAATGTGAAAAACACTATAAGTACAATATTTGATACCTCTCAAATGGTACACACTTTCCTAAACTATTATTACTGAGTATTTCTCAGCAGAACAACTCAATAATATACACTACTTCTATAGCTTTTTACACTACTATTAGTCCGACGAGACAGTCAAGGAACGCTTATTTTATTTCAGACTAGCGACTCACCCTCGCTTCGCTCCGGTGTGGAATAGATATAACTTGTTTTCCCGTAGAAACGAGATAATTTCCCATGGTAAAAAGTAGCCTATTTTACTCTCCAGCCCTCTATCTTGACACAAAAACCACGACAATCTGGCATTTTATTTCGACGTGAAAGGAGGACAAACAAACAAATAAATTCAACGTCAAATTGTATATCTTAGTTATATAATGTATCAAAGTTTACATTAATTGAGGTTGCGTTCCTTAATCAATAAATTTTATTAGTTTTTCTTTAGTGATTTACCTTCATGAGGCACCAAAGCAGAGAATAAAAGTCAAAATTCATGTTATATAATGGCGACTTATTTTACGAATTTTATACATCAAAATTCGTTGAACCAAAAAACTACTTTTATAACGTGATTGTACACTTATTAGTATCTCAATAGTCGCAGAAAATTCTACCAATAAATATTCATACATTTACGGCACAAATTCACTAGTTTAAATATTTTAAATTACACAAAAACAATAGCGAATCACGCGCGCTTCAGTTGATATACAATTTTTGATGCGTTTGTTTTTAATTTTGTCAGCATTTAATTAAAATTTTATTGTATTATATAGGTAATAAAACTTCTTAAGTTTGCGTGTATCACTCATTGAGCATAAATTAAACTAATTTCGTCGTGTAATAAGTGATAAAATTGCAGCGGGGGAGGTGGTGCCTATAGGCACCAGCGGGGTTTGACGGTAACACTGGAAGTAGTGCCTATAGGTACCAGCGGGGTTCAAGTGGTTAAGAGAGATACACTTCAAGCATGATGAGGCCTATTACATTATTACCGTGATTTTTCAATTTAATGCCCATCTTTAACGTGCTTATTTAGAGAAACTGAATTTCTGCGACAATTTTGACTGATTGTATGGTGAAGAATAGTTATTAATACAGTTTAGAGCGGCCTCGCTTTTCGCAAATTTTCATTATGAATTGAAATAAAGCCAAAATGCCGAAGCAAGTTTTTAATAAAATGCGCGACGGCACTTTTTCAAGCTCATGGATTAAAATACTATACTAAGCAAACAAACTGAAGAATATATAATATTATCTCGTATATAATAATTGAGTTTATAGCGGCCTCTGAATTTGAAAATATGTATTGGATATCTACAAAAAAAACCTTTTCAAAATCATAAAAACTATTAAAAACGTTTAGAATTAGCTGTAAATTTAAACAACATTAATATTATTAATAAAATCCATACCAGAATATACGTCAGTACTAAAGAAACGTAATTACATTTTTTTTAAATATTATTATAAAACTTTACATAGAAGTAATTACTATTGTGATAGGCCTCTTAATTTGCCCTTATAAACTTTATTACCTCCTTTTACCCCTTTAAGAGATGAATTTCGAAAAAATACAAGTAAATTTATTTCTTATTTTTTATCAAGCTAAACACCACTTTCTGTGTATTTCACAATTCACATTAAAATTTAAAAATGACAGATTTTCATATAATTTTATATCCCCTATTTTACCCACGAGTATGATGAATTTCATTCGTTCGTGAATCCTTTAAGGAATACGTTCACCAAATTTTAGGTTTCTATGACCAGCCGCCATCGGCTGTGTGTTGATCCAATTCCATCAGTCAGTCTAGAGACCATCACAGGATGGATCACCTCCATACAAAAATATTCTAATTATAATATATATTGAAATGAGTACAACTTTTACTTTTTGAAACCAGTCAAAAATTGAAATTTAAGCTTTTGAGTAACAAAAATTGGAGTTACAGTTCACAACACGAATGAGAATTTGCCTTTCGTGGAAATTTACAAGCTATAAAGTACTTTTATTTTATAACCTACTTATGGAAATGAATGCATCCTTATACGAAAATATCTTAACAGTCTGTAAATGAAGATTAAAATTGTCAGTCATATTTTCAATTTTGACAATTGACATTAAACTTGTAGATTGTTGTAGATTTTAAAATATAACAAAAATTGAGTTGCGTTTCTTAAACTTTTTCTTTATCCATTATGTCTCAACAGGAAATCTCGTGTGGTTTAGATTATATGACTCCGTCTGATTTACAAGCGTGTCTTACAGAGGCATTACATGCAAATTATGCCTTTATTGTTTCACCAATAGTTCACCCACGTTTTCGCCGGACAATTCTTCCATCCGGTGCTGTAGTTGGTGGTTTTACACGGTCTGATATGATTTTGTCTCCTCAAGACTGGAATAGCAGGATTGTTGGTAAACTATCTGCATATTTAGATCCAGATTCACCGTCACCCATAGTACGACAGCGGCATGAAGATTCTCTTAACGAAGAACTATCTTACTGCCGCGGATTAGGACTCCCAGCAGTGATTTTATCCTTGCATTCCAAAAATAGCAATAATTTATCTCGAATTTTACACAATTACTTCGAAACAAGGTAATTTGAAATTTGAAAAATATTTTTTATGTTATTTTTCATATTATGTTTAAAATAACTTTAAATTATTTTTTTAGTCATCATCCAACTCTTATATGGACTTCTGTGCCTATGCTATGCCACAAAATATTAAAAACTAATACTGAAGAAGAAAATGAAAACGAGGAGGCTTGGAATGAACCCTGGCAATGGTGGACAAAGTTTCATGAACATATGGATTGGGATAAAAAAATTGGTGTTGTCTTAGAGATATCAGCAGATCTGCCATCACAAGACATATTGAATAGGTGGCTTGGTGAACCTGTGAAAGCTATTGTAGTACCTACTTCGCTTTTTCATAATAATAAAAAGGGGTAAGTGATGCAGATTTTATTTAAAACTTATTGTTATTGTAAATATAAACATAAAAAACTGTGGAATTGGATAAAATATAGAAGTACTTTTAAATTGATGTTTTAGATACCCAGTACTATCCAGAGCTCATCAGCAAGTAGTAGTAAGCATGGTAGAACGTGATGCTCAGGTGATTGTCAGTGGAGCAAGAAGGTCAAACATTGAATATTATTTGCAATATTTGTACAGACTTTGGAAGAGAAGGCCATATGTTGCTGATGATCCTATGCTAAGTTATGCAAAAGGGTAAATCCTTTAATAATATTGTCAATTGTACTGTATAACATAATATTATCTATTTGGGTACTAAAGTAATGTTTATTACAAATTGTTGTTAAGGATGGGTTGTATAAATAATTTATTTTCATTTATTAATGAGTAAAACGATTTCAGATGGGAAGATTATCTTCAAACACCCTTACAGCCTCTAGCTGATAATCTAGATACCCATACATACAATGTTTTTGAAAAAGATCCAGTAAAATATGATCAGTATCAAAAGGCGATTGCTAAAGCACTCAATGATATTCAGAAAAAAAGAAAAGAAAAAGACAGTGATGTGAGTCTTATTTTTTTGTTTAGGGCAGCTTTCACCAAATTGTAACTGCAAGATTTAAGTAAAATAAATTTTAATGTTGTAGTTACAGATCCCAAAAAATGATGCATATATAATAAATACAAAATCTGAAGAAAAATGTAAAGTTAGTGAAGGTGATGTTATAAAAGAGTCAGACAAGCCTATTACGGTCATGGTGTTGGGTGCAGGCCGAGGACCGCTTGTCAGAGCTACACTCAATGCCGCAGATATTACTCAAACTAATGTGAAAGTGAGATAAATTTTGAATTTTGTAGAAATTTAAATAGCATTTTAGAGCTTTTCCTAATAAGACATTAATTGTTATATCATTTGTTGTATCTTTGTTTGTGTAGGAAAAAAAAGTTTGTGTCAAAAATCTCTAAAACTACTGATCTGATTCTGAAAATTCTTTTAGTAGAAGGAAGCTACATTATCGCAGAGTGCTAAAGGTTATTTTTTATTCTGATAAAAATGTGTTTACTGTCAAAGAGTTACTTTATGGGAGTGCATTGCTTAAACATTTTGTAATATATGATCCTTCAATGTTATTAAAGTTAATGTTTAATCTAAATTATCAACACTCTTTATTTTGATGCTATCTACTTGTATAATCTAACATAAATATATAAATGTTTTTACTTTACTCTCTAAATATGCTTTATTGTACAAATATTTTAAGGTAATAGCAGTAGAAAAAAATCCATGTGCAGTAGTAGTGCTTGCTGCACAAGTGCGAGAAGTGTGGCGCGACCGAGACGTCGTAGTGATACCTGGTGATATGAGGCAAATCACTCTATCACCTAAAGCAGACATCATAGTTTCAGAATTACTAGGTTAATATACTCATAACTTAAATTTCCATATCTTATTAAATTTAAACCTTAAAAATACATTTTAACTTTATCAATTGCTAATCTATCGCTTGATCGATATAATATATATGTAGTTTATAGAAAACATGCAATACTTAGCACTTAACTACATTATTGAACAGAGTCTTTAGCAAGCAGGTAATTGTATAGTACCTATGAAGCTATTATACTATATATTAGCCTGAATAAAAACTTTTTCTAACTATTAAAGGTTTTTTAATATTTATAATTAATCTGCAGGTTCTTGGGGAGATAATGAACTTTCCCCTGAATGCTTAGACGGTGCTGCAGGTCTTTTAAAACCTGGTGGCATATCAATACCTAGAGAATATTCATCATATGTTGCACCAGTATCGTCACCCAGATTATGGGCCGCAGCTAAATGTGTTTCACTCGGAAATTCTGCCCAAGTTGAGAAAAATCTAGAAACCTTATGGGTAGTTTATATGCAAAATAAACATAGCATTGGAGACACAAAGGTATCTATTTTTATTTTGTCCAATCAGTTAAAATACAATTATACTTTTGTAAACATCTCCCCGCATAGTTAATTAATATGTAACTAGCGACTCATCCTCGCTTCGCTCAGGTTCATACCTAAGTACATTTTGACTCTTAGTATGGAATAATGTTATATTTCCCTTTTTTTTTAGTTGTGAGCTTTTCCTAGGTTTTAATAGTTATTCTGCTATTTGGGGCGGAGACAAATCAAAGATCATAAAAATTGGTCCAGTCGTTCTTGAATTATAAATGGTGTAACTAACCCAACTTTTTTTTATATGTATAGATTTGATTGGACTATTTTATAGTTCCTATCCAAAATATTTTATGAAAAGTTTATTTCTGATTTGTAGGTATAGCTCAGAAAGATTGCTAATTCAAAATTAATTAAAACACTTTTGAATTTACCTTTTTTAGGTGGTATTCACATTTGAACATCCAGCAAAAGGTACAAAGGACCATGAAGGACAAGAGTTGACAGATTATAGGGGATTACCATTAACAGATAATAGGAGATCAACCACTGTTACATGGGAAGTAAAGCAGGATAATGTAATGCATGGGTTTGGTGGATATTTTGACTGCACATTATATGAAAATGAAATGATAAGCATAGTACCTTCAACACATAGCCCTGGAATGATATCATGGTTTCCAGTATTTATTCCTATAAAGGTATGTGACAAATGAACATTTTCATTGAGTTTAACTATAAAAATATATTAATTTTCTTCTGTTATTGCAGACTCCAGTAAGAGTCAAGAAAGGTGATGTCATTAAAGCAACATTTTGGCGTTGTGTGAATGCCCGCAGAGTTTGGTATGAATGGATAGTTGAAGTAGGCGATCACATTACACCTTTACATAATCCTAATGGACGGAGTTCAGAAATGTTGTTATAAGAGTAATATATCACCAAAAGAAAATTGTTTAACAAAATTCTTTATTATAAAATTCTTTATTGATTCTTTTTATTTTTAGTTTATCATTTTTTTTGGGTAACACCTCCATGTAAATTTCTAAGAAATGAATTAAATTTCTAAGAAATCTATTGTTAACTGTAACGCCGGCGTGTCCGCGGTCGTGGAGGGATTAAGAGAGATAATTAATAAAAATCTATTCCAAAATTATATCACAGACAGTTTTACTATATTCATTTCCCTATGGAAATCTTCAAAATTTTGTTCCCACCGTTTTTCAAAATAAACACCTGTAAAATATTAAATGATTTATTATTCATTCATTATTAGAAAAATAATGTAAAGCCATTCAAAGCTAGAATTAAGGCAGAGTAAACAAGGTTGAAACTAAACTGATAAAGACTTCTGTGAATAATGTTTAAAAGTATAGGTTATAGCCTCTGTTGAGATAAGTGCAAGTCGTAATTGCAACAATTTTTTACAGTGCATCTTAGAAAATGTTTTGAAACCCTTGTGTTTTTGTATTACATCTTATTATAATAATATTTTTTTTACTATAAAGTGAATTTTACTAAATATGAAATTTATTAACACCTCCAGGTAAATTTCTAAGAAATTAATTAAATTTCTAAGAAATCTATTGTTAACTGTAACGCCGGTGTGTCCACGGTCATTGAGGGATTAAAGATGATATAAGTACTTAATATGGTAAAGCAACAAAGTATTTTATAGAGTTGCAGTTTTATATTTCTTTTATTTTATGGTAACTTATATCTTCAGTGTTTTTTAGACAAATTGTTTAATCTTGTCTGATATTTTAAATTATTTAGGGCCTCTATTCTGTCTTGCCTCAGAACCTTCACACATCACATCATCAAATATGTGATAATTCTAGCACTAAATGACTAATGTACTATGCTTTAGAGAGTTATTAATTTAAAATACCTTGTAAAAATTTTGCATTTTTTCCTGTTCTGATGGCCCAAGGCAAATAATATTTAAGGTAAAGCTGTCTATGCTTTGGTTTTAATCGTGCTGCACCCCAGATTCCACCACCAATGCACATTGGTAGCTTCGTTTGAATTCCTTCTACCCATTTCACTGTAACCTTCAAAGTTCAAAATTTACAATATTTTCTAAAAGTGAATATATAATAATCTATATGTTGTAACTTACTTCGCCTAGCATTGTGGTCTTCATAAACAATGTAGCATGAACTAAATCATGAACTTCTCTATACCGTTGCATTACATAAGCCAAATCTGGATCGGCAATGAATTGAACTGGTGCTCGGGAATCTGCTGTTATTTTATTATCTTTCATAAAATCTGCATATATACGACCAAGTGTATTCTCTGGTAAATTTGAGAGTGTTTTAAAACAAACTGTTTGAGTATTAATTCGCGGCATATCTGTTAATATTTCAATACCCTCTTTACTCTCAAGTATTTTTTCTCTCATGTATTTAAGAGATACTTCACCTGTTACTTCCCCCAAGCATGCAATCATATCTCCCCTATAAGGATTTAGAAGAGATACAGAGGCTGAACCAATAGCAAGCAAAGTTTTTTGGAAATAACTAGTAGGTATGAAATGTTTTTCGAGATCTTCTTTAAAACTAGCACTTTGAGTGTTGGACCTGCTAAGCCTCCTAATGAAGTGAATTGGCCGCATTTTTATTTTACTATGTACATACAGCTACTTACAGTTACAGTTTAATGATTTATGTTGTAGGTACCAATAAAAATTTTGTTTTTGTATGATAAGTATTATCATATGACGTTGACATATTGGTCCTACTTAGTACTTACTAATCTGTGGTACGAACTACTACGAAGATAGTAGCGTAGCGATCTCATTAATTGACATTTATAGGCATGTCATAAACAAAATTCTAAATCGATTTAATATTAATACTCGCGATTATTTCAAACGCATTGATTTAATTAATATTTGAATCAGGGCTTGAAAACGATACCAATTTACAGCAAAAATACCGGTAAATAACAGTATTTACCATGAATGACAAATAAAAGTATTTACATAGAGATACCTGCCAAATCGTTATGATTTGGTAGCGTTAAATTAATAACATAACATAATTATAACGTTTAACACGTATTATAGTGTTAACGTTATAATTTCGGGTATTGTTAACGTTATTTTAAGCGACGTTGCCGTTTTGTTTCTACCTACCGGCTGCAGTCATTTTTTTCGATTACTTAAATAGTTTTGTATAAAATGTCAAATCTTCACATAAACCTATAAAAGTATTATGTGTATAGGATGATTTTTGGGAGTGATTAATGAGTTTCAACTCTGATCTTAAATCATTTTTTTGATAGTATTATAACGTGTTTTCTCGTAGGAATGAGATAATCTCCTGTGGTAATAAGTAGCCTATGTTACTCTCCAGTCCTCCAACTATCTCCACACAAAAAATCACTTCAATCCGTCACTCTGTTTTGACGTGAAAGAAGGACAAACAAACAAATAAGCCAACAAACACGCTTTATAATATATATATTGTATGTATTTAAAGTTATATATGTGTAGTGTATCAACTGTTTGGTATCCGTAACACAAGCTTCGTAGCTTACCAATTGAACTAGATGGTGCTATGTGTTAATGTCCCAACTTAAAATAAATAAATATATTGTAAATAAATAAATATCATTTATTTATTATTTTACATTTATAATATTATATTATTTATAGTTATTTGAAAATTAAGCGCGAGTCAATAAGTAGGTACGCGCACTCACCATGAGGCTTGGTAAAGTTTTCGATGCAATGAAAGTGATGGTAACAAAACTTACATTTAACGTTAAAACATGCATTAACGTTATTTATTTTCAACGGTAAAATGGGCAAGAAATAACGGTAAATTTTTTAACGTTATTTATTTTTTATCGATATCTGCCTCTAGCAACTTTAACGATACCATTTTTTTAACGGTATTTCAAGCCCTGATTTGAATATGAAATATCCTACTTGTACTGATTACATGCACTTTGTAAGTCGTAAAAAGCTTTCTAAATTATATTGTAATTGGTGTGAAGAAAATTTTTTATTACTGAATAAAATCATTTCGACTATAAAAAAATATTAGATACTTTTCTATTTATATTTATTTCCTTACGATCTACCTGATATATGTTGTATATGTATGAAAGTGTGTTTGATGAATTGTATTTTTGATATTCTTATTGGTTCGTAATTGCTTTGCATAAGCTGTTTTCGTTGTCTGAAAACACCCTCTGGGAAAATTATACTGCTCGACTAGAGACTAGGTGCTAACTGCTATATAAACTTGCGGTTACGCGTTCCTATGTTCTTTCTTATCTAGTTAAGGGCGTTTTCGTTTTTTTATGTCATCGGTGCGCAACGTTTTTACGTAAATGTCATCCAGTGACCGGTGCCGGCATAGATTATGTCACCCTTTTTAGTTGCCGCTCGATAGCGTTGTGGATGCTGACCGTTGTCGGGCGATGTAACGACAACTTTAGTTCAACAAACAAAAACGAAACGAGTAACGGTATATGATGCGATGTTGTTTAGTGTAGATAATGACATTGTTATGATAAAAAAATAGATTTTATTATAAACTAGTTTAATCATTTTTACTTCAAATACCTAAGCAATTAAATGAATTTACTACATACTATTGTTTTTGGCAATTATACCTACCTACTTATAAATTACAAATGTTATGCGTGTAGGTGACTACCTATGTGTTGAGATAATTTAAATTATGTAATGGGATACAAAATAAAATAGGCTTATATATAAAAAATGAAACGAATGGAAACGATTCGATTCATCGTGCGTGCAGCGTGAATCGTGAGTTGTCGAATGTCGTTGTTGGTGCGGGCAACGTTATATCGATAATCCAGCAACGTATGCCGGCATCGGTTAGTGACATCGTTGCTCATCAACGTTTTATAGGAAACGGCCAACTCTATTCTTATCAATACAAACTTAAATAATCAATTTCAACATTTTTTTTAGATTGTCAGCGATAAATAAATGATTTGCTTTTAATAAACTGGGTTGTAAATACATTAACAATGCTAAAACCAACGAGTCATTGTTTTCATCAATGTTTGACTATTCAAAACAACAACTAAAGATCTCACTCGCTTCTCGATATCGCCCATCTCTAACTTGTATCCTCAATGTCATTTGTCATTCCCAAATCCCAATCCCATTTCCTAGTATTAATTTGTTATGCTGTATGTTCTGTATCGAATAAGTGCAACTATTTTATTCAGTTTTAAATAGTTTTGCGATAACAAAGTATATTACAAAACATTTAATTTAGATGGGATCGAATAATTTAGACTTAATTTTCTACAATAATGGATAATTTACAAGAAGACAATCCTTTGCAAACACAAAGTGAAATAATTGCTACAAGGGTTGCTATAAAACTAAAAAATAACGTTGGTCGACCGAAGAAAAAAACTGAGATCAAATTTAGTCCTCAACCAAAATCTATTATATCAGAATTTTTATGTAATGAGCGAAAAAATTTACTCGAGAACCCATCTTACGATATATCTAGCAAAACTTCTCTAGAACAGAAAACTAAAAGAACTTGTGAAGATTGCTCAGATGGGTATAAAATAGTTAGATATTTAATATTCATAAATAACTTCATGTTTTTAACATTTTCTTTTTATTTTCAGAAATTTTTATAGCACATCTGATTATAATGAACATATTTTAATGCATACAAATAAGGTTTACAAATGCGATTATGAAAACTGCACATATGTTACAAAATTTTCATCAAATCTTACTACACATAAAAGAATTCACACATCAGAGAGGCCATATGCATGTGACGAATGTACTTTTAGAACAAATTTCATTAATTCTTTAAAATCTCATAAAAGACTTCACCGAGCAGAGCTGCCATTTGCCTGTAAATACTGTAAATACAAATGTAACAGTGGCTCTAATTTGAAAAAGCATTGTACTCGTAAACATTCAAATATTTTAAAAAATAAATAATTCTTCACAATGTATATTTAATATTTATGTTATATTTTATGTTGAAAAATAAAAAAAATAATCTTTGAAAGCATTTATTTTTTCTTCTAATACCTTAAATAAAACCTTATTATGTATAGGTATGTTATAGACATATAAATATATTCTCACCCAAAAAGGTCTTAATATAACATGTTAACCCATAACACCATGATACATATAACCATTTTGAATTTGTTTATTGGCAAGGTTATATAATAATTATAATAATACTATACTGGTATTTCAACTTGGAAGTTAGTCATGAGCTAAGAATGATAAATTACTTATTCCATTGCTGGTATACTTATTGAGGATTCCTTCTCAATGTTATTAATAAACAAAGACGGGAAATAATAAAATTATTTTACAATAAAAAAAACAATAGACATAAGGAACATCATTTTAGTATCATACAGTTTAGATCTTATGTCAGTGACAGTGTTCTGTAAAGTCCACTACCACTGATTCTCTCCAACCAAAAAGAAAATATCCAGTTGCAGATCCAAGGACCACAGCAGCACACAGCCATGTATTGTAAGTCATAAACACCAACATTAACATGTAGCTTACTAGTACTTGTATGCCATGAAGTACAGTCTGCCATGCATGTTCGATACTTAACATTGTCGGGCTAAAATTATAAGACAATAATTATTATTATTCTTTCATCTAAAGTACAGTATAGTCTTTTATATCAAGTGAAAGACAAGAATAAACTGACTAAAATATACTTACATATTTCTTTCCAGAACATGTGGCATAGGCCTGAAAAAAGTTGATAGTCAAATATTTCTTATTTATTAATATATAAATTTTAAAATATAAAATATTACATACTGTATTACTTGAGGTTCATCTGCACAAATATTTGCTACACGCTTATCTGGTGGTGCCACTGCACAGTAGTGGAGTCCTGTATAAGTTTTCCATAGCAAATGTTTCCTGTAGTATTTTAATCTGGAAACAAGTAAAAATCATACAATAACTTATTTATATTTAGCATTTAAGAAATAACTCAGACCTTTCACTATTTATCTATAGATTTAAAAAGTATTTATAAAAATTTGCATTCATTGCTAGCTTACAACACATTTCTGACAGTAAATATATCTTACCCCTCATAAATTAGAGCTAACAGAAATATAGCCAAAAATGATCCAATAAACTCTCCAATATCTGTAACTTCCCACCATGAAAAAAGTATTGTCACCATATATCCTCCATGGAACTAAAACAGTTTCAATTTTTTTATTTAATATCCATTGTTTTATAGTACACATAAATACATATAATGTTTGTTTCACTTTTACTTGTTGCACCAAAAATGTTTCCTATTTGATATTTTAGTTCTCTAATTATATATGAATGTAGATAACCATTTATTATATAAAACACTGCTTACTGTCATTCCTCCATGCATATCATGACCATCATGATGATTTTCATGTGACCTATGATGAAGGTGATGATTTTCACTTGAATTTGTTCCCTAAAATGAATAAATATGTATATGTACTTATTAAGCTGTTCCTTTAATTACTGTCATTTTTAAGTATATTAGTACTTACACTCAGATTGTTAAGGAAACTTGTATCATTCACACTCATTGGGTGATCTATTATATTATGAACCATACTATGCACCATATTGTCCATGTTATGATTTGAATGGTCCATATGATTATGATCTTCCATGGTAGACTTTGGAAGCTAAATAAGAAAAAAAAATATTAAATAGTTTTATATTATTCATCTTATATTCAAGATCACATGTTATTAAAAACTACACATTCAAACGATTGTGATGAGGTGAGTGAAAGTTTATTAAACAATTGTTAAAAAACGTAAAACAGTTTTGGAAAGCTTTGCCTGCAACAATTAAATATATTTATACACCAAAATTATATCAAACACAATTCAAATTATTTAACACTTATTGAATACCACATAAACTATATAATTTATTATGACAATATACCTGTTGAAACTCACCAGTAAAGTATATATAATATAAAGTATATATGCTGTGCAATTCAGTAAAGCCAGCTAGGCACAAACAATTACGCGAGAGCACTTTCACTTTCTTTCGAGGTCTTAGAATGCTCTATATTCACATATCGGTAGTCGGTACCATTTTTGTGGTAGGTAGTAAAAATCAGAACAGTTTACATAATGTAAGAAGTAATCACTCTGGTTTAAATAAAACACGTAATATGTAATGAGTAGGCATCACACTAATGACTTCAGTTCAACTGTGAAGTGTGAACTTATAAGTAATGGACGAAAATTAGTGTAATAACGTGTGTCTGTGATATACAACGAAGTTTTTTATTTGATAAAATTTAGAAATAAAATAAAAAATTGAAGTTTCACCTTTTGGCATTTGACTTTGTCATTCGTTAGCACTTAGCAGATGTATTATCTGTGGTTTGACGCATGATGTTCATAAACATCCGCACATGATATTACTTAAAAAAAAATCTGTTAACTCTTGTTGTTCCTGGTCTTTGCTACTATCTATAAATGTACTAAATTATAGTTGATGCTTGCTGTTTCTGTCTTTCAGTAGTTGGCTATATTATTTTTAAAGGGTCTTAAGTCTTTAAAAAGTATTATATGTCAATAAAAAAGTGCATAGTCTATAAAAATACGTAAAAAATTGAGGAGCGTCAGAACAAAAACTGATAAATCACATTTTGAAAAAAAAATTTTATGATGCCAATTGGTTGTTCTTGTACATATCTTGCTCTATAGTTAATGTAACCTGGTCGAAAACTGAGAAATCCGCTCTAAATCCGTCCACGACATAACTGAATCTGAACATAAACCGATAATAAATAATTACATCAACAACGATGGCGATCGGAACAGATACCGATAAATCCATAATATTTTTTTATTGTTGACTATTTTGATTCTATCAAAAACCGATGTATTATCTAATTTCTAGTTTAGATAATAATATCCTACAGTGTTATATCAAAAACCGATAAATCCAATTAGTTTGGTCAATAACCGACATATTATCTATTTTATTTTTTCTTAACCGCCTTCCAAAAAGGAGGAGTTTCTCTATCTTTTTTTATGTATGTTCACCGATTACTCGAAGACGCCTGAACCGATTTTTTTTTCTTGTTCGTTTATCTGCAATCAGTCTTCAACTATAAGCAGATGCGTTCAAAAGAAAATTAGCGTTATTGAGATGATCCTTCAGCAAAGATGACCCCTCCTTATAGTAAAGCGTCTAGGCTTTGTATGTCATGCCGCTTTAGACGTTTGAGATAACTCATGTTAAGGAGTTTCGTTGCAAGTTCATTTGGGTGATCCTTGAGCCGACCCTTATACTTAATTGCTGACAGCCTAATTTCTTCTTTGACTGTGGTTATATTTAAGGTATTGTGTATTTCGGCATTGGTTACAAACCAGGGTACATTTGCTATGGTGCGTAAGATACAATTTTGCAGCCTTTGTATAATGGTTATGTTAGAGCTACAGGCACTTCCCCAAAGCTGTATTCCGTACATCCAAATTGGTTTGAGTATAGTCTTGTAAATGAGTAGTTTATTGTCGATAGATAGTTTGGAATTGCGTGCCATCAACCAGTATAGTTTTTTGTATCGTATATTTAGCTCATCTCTCTTTGCCTTAATGTGGTTTTTCCAAGTTAATCTTCTATCCAGATGTATCCCAAGGTATCTTACTGTGTCACTCTGCGGTAAAGTACTTGTTCCTAATTTGACTTGCGGACAGTTTCCTTTCCTAAGAGCAAATGTGACTCGGGTAGATTTGGATGTACTTGTTTTAATCCGCCACTTTTGGAGCCAGTCTTCTATTTGGTCTAGGCCTGCCTGTAAGATACTAGAGGCTTCTTTAGGGTTTGTATTACTAGGTAGTACTGCGGTGTCGTCAGCAAAAGTGGCAGTGGTAATATTTTGCATTTCTGGAAGGTCTGCAATGAAAAGAGATTACAAGATCGGTCCAAGAACGGATCCTTGTGGTACTCCAGCTGTTATGTTACAGAATTCGGACGATTCTCTTTCTTCTCTAACTTGGAATATGCGATCAGCAAGGTAAGATTTGCCTGAACCGATTTGAAAATATATTTTATTGTTTCAAAGGGTGTACTTCCCAGGTCCCATATAAATTCTATCGAAACCAGTCGAGCGGTTTTTAAAAAAAATAACAATAAATATATTTTTTAAATTAATTGTTTAATCGAATATGTTATTAAAAAAACTTTCTTCTTACAAATTACCTGCTTATTACATCTACACTAAAAATGGAAAAATAAAAACTTTTAGAAAATTAAATATAAACCGACTTCCAGGCACTAAAATGTAAAGAATAACTAAACGGTGGTTTTTATTTAGAATAGATACCTAATCAGATATTTTCGAAGTCGGTGCCAGCCTACAATATTTTAAGATATGAGTATCTAATAGATAAATATGTATTTTACGTATAAAAATATATTAGATTTGCTTTGCATCGGCTGGCACCGAATTCAAAAACATCTGATTAGGTATCTATTCTAAATGAAAATATCCTTTTAGTTATTTTTTACATTTTAATGTCTGGAAGTCGGTTTTTTTTTTTAAATTTATAATTAATTCAACAGGTACTACAATCACGAATGCAGAATTTAGATTTCAAAACAGTGATACTAACACCAATAAATTGATAGATTTAGTTTAACTCTAAATTACAAAACCCTGAACTTGGCCATATTTTAACATTTTTCCACAAAAAACACAAATGTGATTTATCAGTTTTTGTTCCGACGCTCGTAAATTAATATGAACAAATTAGCAGAAAAAATAAATCTTGTAATTTTGATTTTATTGAAAAATTAAATGTTGGGGTTGCTCCTACTTACAATACTTCTTTAATGGCAGAGATGACTGTGGAACAACCTCATGGTTATTGTGGTCTGCTACGGCAGACCTGCCGTCGGGGCGTAGTGATTCGTGGTTGAGTGCGTAAGCGATGCTGCGACGCTCCATTATGACTGGGGCGGTTCCGTTGGGTTTTGGTAGTGGTTACTGGCTATTCAGAACGGTGAATCCCACATAACCATCTGTATGTAAGCAGGTAGTATACTTTAAAAATGCATTTCCCAACATTTAAAAAAAGGTAATGCATAATGTAAAGCTGATGAAAACGATGCAAAATTTAGCAAAGAATCAACGTACCCACAAACGATGTCAATCAAATCATTCCTACAAATGGTTAAGTTTTAATTCAGCTAATTAAAAAAATTAAATCTTAATTGTCCGGGTTACAATAATGACGTATTTTTTGTATTTATAAAAATAAACTACTACTTTATTATTTAATAAATAGTTTAAATTTGCATGCGTATTGATTCAGTTACATTTGATTAAACATCTCAAATATCATAAATCCACGAAATAATCCGAAAAGATAATAATAATAATAATAATAATATTCTTTATTGTACAGCAAAAATAAATATAAAATAAAAAAAAACAACACAAAGAAAAGATGCACAGCAGGCGGCCTTATCGCTGGAAGCGATCTCTTCCAGACAACCTTGAGGTGGAGGAGTAAATGTTCATAAAAACGGTAGGCGGTGTACTTGCTTTAACACGTTTACTATATATAAATACTTATAGATAAATAGATACATATATACGTATATACATAGTTTTATTTAAAATGTCAAATATACGCGTAAATCTAAGAAAGTATTAAAAAATCTCAAGTTCTATAATCTATTTACATCTACAACTAATATATGATTGATACTACTTTGGTGTACCTACATAAGTTTTACTGTAACTTTCGTTTATCAACCGACTTCCTCAAAAAGGAGGAGGTTCTCAATTCGGCTATAATATTTTCCATTTATATATGTATATAAATAGAAAATATTATAATCGAAACTATCGATATAATACTTTACGGTTATTTAGTCTGTTAGCGGGCGCAACTCTATGATAGGGAAAGTGGAAGGCGCGCGGGCCGCGTACGCGGGAGAGTAGACTCGAGATGAGGGCGCCACTAGTGGCAGCCTGGAAATGGCTTATGCAAACTGATTTAATTTTCGTAGTGCATTCTTTTGAATCCTATGAATACTATGAAACTTTATGTCATCGACTCACTAAAATTCGAAATATTGATATTTTACACGTTTTTTTATGTTTTTATTATATTATTTTAATTTCCAGAAACAAATAGTGCTAAATGAATTTTAGGTATGACTAAAGACGCTCGTCACTCGCTTCATGCTTGGCGGCCATGTCTGAAGCCCGCTTGGACCTTTGAGAGTTCGTGTTGTGCTATTCTTTGTTGTATAAAAAAGACAGTGGTTATTGTTGCTATCAGACAATGAATTTATATCTATATTAAATGACTATGAACTTGGTTAATTGTGGAGTGTTTTATAGAGTCGAGCGAATCGATAGAGATTGCTTCTGCAGAAGTTACTCCAACATCGTATTTTTAGTTCATCCGCCATATTGGCGTTAATATATCTTCGTAAGTCTTTTTTCATAATATCTTAGCTTATATCTAAATTGTAACATTTTACTTTTGTTATTTTGCTAGTATTTTATATGGACTTTGTCATGTATAATAGTACAGTTTGCATGATTTGGTTATTAGGCAATATTTCATCATAAATGGTTTGGCCTCTAGATTAAGGGTTTTCACCTATTTATTTTCGCAAGCCTAAGGCTCCTTATATAAGTTTAATTTAGAACGTAAGATGTGGATAGTATCAGTAGGAACAATATTTTCTATGCCTTCACATTTAGTGATACCAAGTTGAACAGTACTCAGATCTTAATTTTTCCATTTATTATGTTAAAAATCTTTATAGTCTAATGTAAAATCGTTATCTTATATAATTATTTCACTAAAATATAGACATTTATAATAAATAACCAACTTTTATTAAAATTTCATCCCTTACACCCTTTCTGTAAGCTTATTCAAGGAAGTCAAAGAATATTCTAGATCTTTTAAATACATTCTCCATTCTCTTTTAAGTTGCAGCTAAATGTTTATTAATTTATGAATTGTCATACTGAGTTTGTTTTGACAGGCAAACAGTTATACATTATATTCCACTATCATTTACTACTACAAGATAAATTCAACAATATCACGGTAATGTAATACATATATTACCGTGACAATATTAAAAGTCTCATAGTTATAGACCCATATCAATGCATGATTATTAAATATGAAAATGCATGGTGTATAATTGTTTTATTATTCAAATTTAAATTAGCCTTTTTATCGTTTTATTTTATGCATTCTCATAATTTTAATTAATTTAATAAAAAAACCAATTAATAAAAATCTCAGGTGCCTTAATATTCTTCCTGTTTTATTGTGTACATAATGATATTTTTTGAAAGTCATTGAAAACCTGTCAACAGCTAGTGACCCAAATAAGAGGAGGATTTAGACTTTAAATATCCTCAGCCAAATTAATAATATTTTTTATGAATAATATAGATTAGATATTCATTACATTCTCTATTTAAGCTCGGGTGCTGTGAAGGTCATCTTCAAAACCTAAATTGCCTTTCATATTATTATCTGAAAAAAGTGTAGAAATATAAATGAATAAATTTTAATTTTCATTTTATATTAATAAATAGGTGAAATTATCTCTTTTTAAAGAAACATTAAATACTAACAAGGTACACATGAAACCCTAGCCTGTCATTGTATATTTTGTTTATATATTCCTAATAGCGACTCACCCTTGCTCCTCTCGGGTTTGTTCCTAGGTAGTTTGATAGTATATATATAGATATATATATATATATATATATATATATATATATATATATATATTTTTCTGCAGTAAAAACTATCCTATATGTTGACCCGAATAACCAGCTAACATCATACAAAATTTCACAAAATCTGTCCAGTAGATTTCCCATGATGTGTTCCTAGACAGAGAAAAAAAAACTAGATTTGGCATGTATTCAGACCTTTTTAATGTCCCACTGCTGGGCATGGTCCTCCCTTAAGTACAAGGGGAATCAGGCCATAGTCCTAGTCCATGTATTATGTATCAATAATAATTAATATTTTAATAAGATTGTCCAAAAAACATTAATGTACATATTAGACTCAGAATTTTATAATTTGTATAAATTTACATACTAACATGTTGGTTAATCTCTGATTGGGTTTTGACGCATTGGTAAAGTGAATAATACTCTGGTATTACAACATTTTGTTGTAAATCTTATAACTTAAATAATTAACAAATACCTCTAAACTCTAATATATTGCTAAACAATTATTAAAGTACATAGATGTCTGTATTAAGCAGGTTATTATATAAATATTATAATAATTGACTCGGTTTAAAGTAGAAAGTTCTCAATTTGGTTAAATGTTTTTGTGTTTCTATTGAAATCTTCATAGATATTGTGTTGTGGCGATTAAATAATTTTATTTCTATTAAATAAAGCATTCTTTGGTCATTTTTGTTAGTACCAATTTAATTACACTACAAACTATAAATAAAAACACATGACAACAATACACCATATAAAAATCACTTAGAAGTATTTAAGGGTTAAAACCCTTTTTTAATTATTTTTGACCAACCTTGTGGTATGACATATCTATTAAAGAAAGAATATGTTGATTAATTTATAGTTGACAAAGATATTGAATATAAAAAAAATACAGATTAATTAAGTGCCTTTTCTTTTGAAAAGTCATTTAACCCTAAATATAGAAAACCAAATCTTTGATTGTTAGGCACTTAAAGTTACTCTTAAGTGTTGATAATGTAACAAAACTATTAAGTAACTTATATATTTTTATATGTTTTTTTTACTAAAACAATGCCACATAAAAAAACTTTTTTTTAAGTTAAAGTCAAAACATCGAAAAAAAAAGGAGGGCTCACTGGGCTCATTTGGGGTATTAAGATTACATATAAATTAATCTATTTTTTAGTTTATTTAAGTTAATTTATGATATAGAATAAAAAGGCAATATTAATTTAGTGGCTTAATCTGTTATTACTAATATTTATGCTTTTAAAACAATTCAAAATATAGGGAATATGCGTGTTTTTTTTAAATATTTAATACAAAAGCAAAGATCGTTATATACCTAATTGCAAAAAAATGCCTAGTCCCAAAAAACTGAAATTTAGAAAAAGTTTTTTTTTAAATTTCCCGATACGCATACTTTAAACGTCGTATCATATCAATGATAATACTTTGACGTCATATTCGGTCTGACCAATGGCGTGCGTTTCAACTACTTTGAATTTCCCACCTATATTTGCACTTTATAATAATTATTTTTTTAATCAAAAAGAAATTTCATTACCAAATATTGATATAGGCTTATGAATTAATAGCAATAAATATTATAAAAAATATTTCACCTTTATATAATTAGAAATAAACATTTTCTAATACTGAGACTTAATAGTAGAAAATGAAAAAAAAAAATGCCAGTTTTTTATTTAAATAAGTATTAATATTTATTATAATGAAAATATTGTTATAAACAATGTTTGTTAGATGTTCATATTCAATGTCACTGCTATGATTCTTATCAGACACAACTTCCACTATCTTTTTTTTTGGTTTTATGTTTTCTTCATCTTCTATAAAATTAAAAATATAAATAGATTCTGTACTAGGTAGCTTTTAATATTACCAACAGCCATTATTAATTTAATAAAATTAATATTTTTAATTGAATTAATTTAGTAATTATTACTAATACTAGTGGCTCAGCCTCGCTTCGTTTGGGTTCGCAACTAGACAAACAAAAACAAATCTATTCCTCGGGAACGGTACATTTTTACAGAATAAAAACTAGCCTATTTGTTATTCTGATGTATCAACTATAGTATTGTGAAGTTTCATTAAAATCCAATCAGTTGTTTTTCTGTACTAAGCTGTATAAGTTACTATAGTTTTTAACTATCCACGGGAACTCTTTAATTTCTCAAGATGAAAGTATCTAAAATGTTGACTGGGGATATAATGTACCACCATGCAAAATTTCATTTAAATTGGTCCATCTGTTTCGGAGATTAGTCGATACAAACAGACAGAAAAACAAAAAATAAATAAAAAATCTGGATTTGCTTTATTTCTCTTCTTACATACCTCTGACTCGGTTTTTAGCATTTTTTTTTCTATGTGCAGACATTCAACCTCTATTACACTTAAAGTCTGTCTGTTACACTTAAATGTCTGTAATGTCTGTCTATTACACTTAAAGTTATAGACTTTAAGTGTAATAGATAAGATGATTGGCTAAAGTTGGAGAAGGCCTATGTCCAAGACAATCTCAGATCATAGCTGCCAATGTCAATTTCTTTATACATACAAATTTTATTATTTTTTTATAAATTTATATTGCCATAACTAATTAATTCAGAATGTTACATTAAGTTAAGCTTATTTAATAAATTAAAATATGTACTTACTAAAAATCTGCAATTATGTATAAGCTAACTACTAAAATATATGTAAATAGGTATAAGGTAAACACCGTTCAGAGAAATAAGGCTATTTTTATTTATTTTATACTAATATTATGTATTTTTTCAGATTCGGAAGATCCTTAAATAATTAAAAAACATAGTTGCCTTCACTTCAAGCACCAACACTGCATGCATATGCAAGGTATTTTTTTGATATATTTATATTTCAAATTAGTGTAAAAGTATTATTTGCTTAAAGTTTTTTATAATTCTCTTCAGGTCTAGCAATTATTTCTATGAACAACATGAAGTACACCTAGGTGCGAATGCACCGCATTATATTATGATAGAATGGTTATATGTTATAAGAGGATATAGCTGATGCCTCTGAGCCAGAGATTGGATGAACCTCTTGTTACAATTGAGGTGAGGATGTGATAATTACCCATAGAAAGGTAAAATTATAATAATAATTCATCTTTTTAACAGTTACTTTAGTGCTTGTGTAATTTTGGCAGGTAGATTGCGGACTCCAGCACAATGCAGCAGGCAGTCGATCCTCTTGCTACAACAAGTACTGTAAGTTACTCAATATTCAATCTTACTTTAATGCACATTTATTTATTTGTCCATACTAATATTATAAAAGTGAATGTAACTCTTGTCTGTCTGTCTGTTACCTTTTCACGTTTAATCTGTTAAACTGATTTAGATGAAATTTGTATGGAGATAGTTTGAGACTTTTGGAAGGACATGAGATAGTTTTTATCCCAGAAATCACCACTTAAGGGGGTGAGAAGGGGTGTGGAAGTGTGTATGGGAAACAATAATTTCTCAAGTAAGGGATATAAAGCTCATCATACCTATCATCACTATACTGTATGTACGATGTCTATATAGTCTATTCCATACTAAGCATCAAAACGTATTTAGGCATGAACCCAAGCGAAGCAAGGGTGAGTCGCTAGTATAATATAAAATTTAGGTCGTAGGTGTAGAAATTATTATTAACCTCGTGCTTGTCGCAAACAGCCGACGGTGGAGCCTGTCAATGGCGCTCCCTCGGAGGAGGTTCCACGTCGACAAGGGCGGATGACCAATCAGCTACAGTTCCTTCAAAAGAATGTGATTAAGGCCGTATGGAAACACAAATTTGCATGGCCTTTTCACCAACCTGTAGACGCAAAGAAATTGAACCTTCCTGTAAGTAATCATATAATACTATCTTTTAATCTATATATCAACAAGTGCCTATATATGTAAATTTTCTTGTAGGACTATCACAAAATTATCAAAAAACCCATGGATTTGGGCACTATCAAAAAACGCCTCGAGTCGAATTACTACTACTCAGCCCAAGAATGTATTCAAGATTTCAATACAATGTTTACAAATTGTTACGTCTACAACAAACCAGGGGAAGATGTAGTGGTAATGGCGCAAACATTAGAAAAATTATTTCTAAATCGGGTAAGAATATCAAGTATTGCACTCGAATGCTACATTATGCAATCTTTATATTTGTAAGAATAGAACATAAAACGTGACGTGCCTTTGTGTATGAACAGATAGCGCAAATGGACAAAGAGGAGAAAGAGATAGAAATGCCATCGAACAGTGGGAAGGGTGGGGTGAAGAAGCGCGCGGGTGGGACGAGCAGCGGCGTGGCGGCGACGGCGGCGGGTGCGGGCGCGGCGACGACGGGCGCAGCGGCGGGCGGCGCGCCGGCGGCGCTGGGCGCGCGCGCCTCGGTCAAGCCGCTGGCGCCCGCACCGCACCCCGCCTTCGTGGGCTCCACTAACACCACCACCACCACGCCCACCCTCACCGCCGCCTCGGTCACGCCGCCCGCCACTCACACAGGGCTTCCGCAGCAGGTACATTAGTAGCGAACACTAAATACTTACTTCAGTCACTTATAAATATTCAGCTATACATCTATCTATAAACATATATACCACCATTTTTTTACTTTGTTAAGAATAATAAAATATTATTTCAAAAGTTAGTTTGTGTAATAAAAGTTCTTTTAAAATAGAGCTGTTCAAATTTCTACTAATTTAGGGCATTTTCTTATAAAATTGAGTTCACGTGAAAATCAATTGTTAATCTTACAGGTGGCAACACAACCCTCAAACTTTCATGTCAACCAAGCTGCTGCTCCTCCTGTCTCCACTATACCAGCCGTCACCCTATCACAGACTCAACCTGCTAAGGTGAGTTTTTGGTTATAGGTATATTATTACTCCATTATTAATCATGTATTGCCTTCTTTCTTTACTTTATTTATTTAATATTTGTAGGTTAAAAAGGGCGTTAAAAGAAAAGCCGACACGACTACACCTATGGGTAGTTCGTTTGAAGGTGGCTACACGACGCCAACCATTGACCAGCAGAGTGGACCTAAACCTGCCAAGATTTCTACAAGAAGAGAAAGTGGGAGACAAAAAAAGGTAATATATATGAATGATTTATATGCAAAGGGTGTAATTGTTTAGTTCACAACGTTTAAATGTAGCACTGTTTTGTATAAACATGTATAAGACAGACAGCTCAAATAATTTGTTGAAATGAAGGCACATAATTATGTTGATATGTATATTCCTACTCCAATGTTATAGTTGTATTATTTATGAATCTTACTAATTTTGGCGCACTAATGACTATATTATTGAACTCCAGCTACTCCCAATTCAAATAAATCTATCTTTACTCATGTTATTCAAAAGCATACAAAATAACATCATTTTGGGTAACTTTAAACTGATTTTTAACACAATTTGCTATGGTTTGATAATAATTTGTATGGAATGACAATACAGTGTTATTTAAAGGATCTATTAATGTTGTAAATAATGCCTATTACATTGAATATAAGTAAATTATGCTAATCCTAAGTAGAAATTGGTGTGGCCCTAAGTGAAATTGACTTAGGGGTAAAATTAGATGATATTTTTGTCTTATCTTACAAAAAACATTTTATCTGATTATTTGACATTAAAGGTGACATTGGATCTTATTTACAAAAAGCTGCAAGGTAAGAATGAAAAATTTAATTTAGCAAATGAAATTGCCTGTTAATTTAATTTTTTACTGTCTTTTTTTATATTTGAATACATGCATTTACTATGTTCTTGTCTGGTTATCGATTTAACAAAAAAGAAAAGCATTTGTTCAGTATAAGATTCAAAGTTACAACGCTGGTCCAATGTCACCCAGAATGACTATTTAATATCTTATTTTCATTTATTTTATTTTGTCTAGGCTAGTCGAGTGGGCGACGACGGGTTCAAGATGGGCGGCATGTCGCCGTCGGTGGGCGGCGCGGGCGCGTCGCACGCCGCGCTCACGCCGCAGCTCGCCAAGAGCAAGGAGAAGCTCTCCGACGCGCTCAAGAGCTGCAATGAGATACTTAAGGAATTGTTCTCCAAAAAACACTCTGTGAGTTATACACTAATATTTGTTATATTCTAAATATATCCTTGAGTTTTTGATTATATATTATAAGTAATTCTATTTAAAAATATGTCCATCAATATTTCGTTTATGCTGATTATATATCAGCGTTTTTCATATATACATTTATTTTTAAAATGTAAATGTAAACAATATTGCCGACTTACTCTTTATTTTTCGTGTACTTCTTTTTTGTTATATATCTAATCTATTTAGACTGAACACTTCTCGACAGGGTTACGCATGGCCGTTTTATAAACCCGTGGACGCGGAGTTGCTAGGTCTACATGATTATTTTGATATTATTAAGAAACCTATGGACCTCGGAACGGTGAAACAAAAGATGGATAATAGAGCTTATAAAACGGCGGCCGAGTTCGCGGCCGACGTCCGCTTAATATTCACTAATTGCTACAAGTATAACCCCCCCGACCACGACGTCGTCGCAATGGCGCGCAAGCTGCAAGACGTCTTCGAAATGAGGTGAGGTGTTTGTTCTCTTATCGTAATGAGTATTAATTTATATTTAATTCACATTCCATAAACCTAAAATTATTTTGTTAGGTATGCGAAGATTCCCGATGAGCCGAGTCACGTAGGAATACCACATATTGATAAGGGAAGCTCGGCTTCGAGTTCAGAATCGGGTTCTGAGTCGGACTCCGAATCTGACGACTCTGACGAGGAGAGAAACAATAAAGTCAAGTTGTTAGAAAAAGAACTGCTCGCACTTCAAGAGAAGATGCGAAAGCTTGTCGAAGAGTCAAATAATAAGAAAAAGGCTAAAAAGAAAATGAAGGAAAAGCAGAAGAAACAGATTCCAAACAGTGGTATTCCTAAGGCTAATGCAGTTGCCGGGTATGGCGCGAAAGCTAATAACATTGGAGAAAATCTAGGTGAGCTATACAAAATAATTTGGGATACAATATTTTTTGAATTTATATTCTATACATTTTATTTGCAATAGGGACAAATTTCCAATTATTATCCTTATATTTTTTAAATGAATGTTTCTCGAGTTGAAGTATAATATTATATGGTAGAATAGTAACGTAAATAAAAATAATAATAATTGGTGCTTATATTCAAAGATAATTTGAGAATATTGAGTTTGAGAATACTAAAATAGTAGTGAGCTTGGCTAGATTTTAAACAAAACATTCAGTTGTAAAGTCATTCAGATATCATAGTGACGTTTATTTATCAATTAAAGTTTAGTAAAGGCGCGTTTAAACTAAAATAACACTTGAACAAGCAAGTAAAATCTCCGTTTCAACTAAACACAGCATCATCGACAGCGCCGAGCGGCGTTCGCGGCAAGACGGGCAGCAAGCGCGGCGCGAACGCGGCCGCGGCCGGCGCGCCCGCCGCCACCGCGGGCAAGGCTGCGGCGCGCGCGCCTGCCAAGAAGAAGTCCTCCACGCCCACGGTCGCGCCGCCGCACCACGCGCACCACGCGCACCACGCGCCCGCGCACCATGCGCACCACGCACACCACGCGCACCCCGACACCGACGACGAGGACCTCGCCAAGCCCATGTCTTATGACGAGAAGCGGCAGCTCTCGCTCGACATCAACAAGCTGCCCGGTACGCAACACAACACCCCGCATACCTCAAACACTTCAAACCTCACTCACCTCAACCCTCACATACTTTAAACCTCATCTTTCACACTCATCGAATCTCACGCACCTCGACCTTCACCCATCTCGCACATCTCACAAATATTAAAAAATCTAAAAACGTAAATGAATACAGTATAATTTTTTTTAATTATATTGTAATGAATCTTAATAGTAAAATATGCCGTCAATGTATTTTCACCACAACGTGAGCTGCATTAAAACAGTGATGCCTTAATATAATTGGTATTTCTAAATCAGTGTTTTAAGTTTTTGTATCTATTAATTTGAGAGAGAGAGATATTCATATTTTCTTTATTTAACAGATTTTATGTAATCTTAAAACTCATTGTGTAACATTTATGTTTCTGAATTTCATTTGCAAATAGCATAGTAATGATAGTAATATATATATATATATATATATATATATATATATATCATATTTTTAATAATATATTTTTTTTAGGTGATAAGCTCGGCAAAGTAGTTCACATAATTCAAAACAGAGAGCCATCACTCAGGGATTCAAATCCGGACGAAATAGAAATTGATTTCGAAACTTTAAAACCATCCACACTTAGAGAATTAGAAAACTATGTAGCTTCATGTCTTCGGAAAAAAACACGTAAGTGTCTTATAATATATTTAATTCTTTACTATGTATTCTCCACACTGTACAAGGCTTCTGATGACAACATTAAAACATTTTTTAGATCGAAAAGTGTCCGGTAAATCTAAAGATGAACAGATGGCAGAAAAGAAACAAGAATTAGAAAAACGATTGCAAGATGTATCGGGACAGTTAGGAACAAATAAGAAACAGCAACCAAAAAAAGGTATACACTATTTTATTTACATGATTAATTTATGACAGCTCTTGTATGTGTGTTTAAAATTAAAATATGCAAGAATTTTGTAATAATAATATTTTCTATTTCTCAAAAAAATTATAATAGGTGAAATAGATGTATAATATAATTTAGTACTGATAACATCTATACTAATATTATAAATGTGAAAGTTTGTGAGTATGGATGTATGGATGTTTGTTACTCTTTCACGCCAGGACAGCTAAACGGATCTGAATGAAATTTGGCACAGATATAGATTAAAATCTGGTATAACACATAGGCTACTTTTTATCCCGGAAAAATGTATGGATACATTTGTTTTTGTTTTCACTAAAAAAATATGTTTGGTTGTTTTGATCTGAGGAGATATTATGTATTACTCATTTCTTGTCAATATTAAATACTAGTTTACTTACTTTTTTGACTTACCCTCGGTACGATCGCGTGCGTCCCTATGTGTCATTTCTCCATACATCATTGATTTATTTCTGAGCGCTTAGGCATCGCACTCCGATAAAGCAAAACAAAAGATATATTTTTTTCCGAATTTAATTAAAGTTATTATGATTTCTGACAGCAAACACATTTTTATCGGAATATAAAATAACCTACAGATAGCACTGGGCAGTAATGTAGTCTCTTTAGTGAAAGAATTTTCAGGATGGGATTATTAGTTTTAGAGGTTACCCCTCACATACAAACTTACAAACTTCTACAATATGAAAAAAATGTAATGTTGATATTTGTCGCAGAGGGCTGTAAGGAGGGTCTCGGCGGCGGGCTGTCGTCGTCGTCCAGCTCGTCGGACTCGTCCAACTCGTCGTCCAGCACCGACACCAGCTCGTCCGACAGCAGTGACAGCGAAGCAGGTTAGACCTAGCCGCGTCCGCTCACGCCCCACGCGCTGTACATTACGACTTAGGCATAGATTCTAATGTTATTTGCATTTAGTTAGGAGACCGCCACGTTGCGACGAAATAAATGCTCGAGATCTATCATTAGTTTAGGTTAGAGCCGATCGTTCATATCCGAGAATGAAATCTGAGAGGTTTTTACCTTTGCCAGTATTTTTTAAAAGTGTGACTGATCGCGTCGCCCCGTCTTCGGTACTCGGAGAGGGATGACGACTTTTTTAAATATTTTATTCTAGTCTGAACGTCAGTGACGGAATGAATGGTGAGTCCGCGATCCACCCCCGAGAGACAAGTTAGGTGACGACCTACTCGCGTAGTGGCTTTTTGCGTCCAAGCGATGGATGATGATTATATACATTTTTTTTATTTTTATTTATTGACATTTCATACTATAAAGTGATATAATTTATTACACAGATATTGTTCAATGATTATTATTTTTTGTTCCACGTAACCGATAGGGATCGTTTGATTGGTGTATGCTTCACTAAATGAAAATTACAAAATGTATGCTAGTCGAATGCTGTCTGTCTCGTGCCGTGTTGACGTCTGAGCGGTTTTGTTTTGAAAGCGGAAACGGTAAGAGTCTCTGGTTTCCAATCGGTCACCGCTCGGTTGTAAAGTTTATATATTAATATCAGTTACGTATAACAAATTCAGGCAGAAGCACCTCGCAATAAATACTTCTTTACATGAATTTTAGTACTTATTTTCTTTGAAAGTAGAATTTTAGTCGTGTGCTTGAGTTAGCGTGCGTGTGTCGCAGAAGTAGTTCTGTATGATTTATATTACTGTGATATTGGAAAGAGGGATCCTACTCTTTACATTCGATCAGATTAAATTTTAAAATGCTCGAGCATAATAAGAAATGTTGGTAAAGGCACAAAACATTCGGTCATTAGTAAGGAGGAGAAGCCAGCTTTGGTGTCCGTCGACGCTCGTAACTGTGCCGGTGAGAGTATGCTTTCATGGACCGATAGGAAATACCTTTTCACATTAATATTTTTAACTATATCATGTCCTCGAGTGCGAAGTATTTTCATTTGCATCTTTAAAATTGTGATCTCTCGGAATAGAATATATATTGGAAACTTCAGATCTCACTATTTACGTGACAGTAATATATCGGCGGAGCGCCCGGTGCAGGAGCGCGGGCCGCCGCTGGAGGAGCGCCACGGTATGCAAACAATTGTGTGAGGGCGGACCTAGCGGAGGTGCGTCTGCGTTCTAGTGACATGTGTAGTTAAAAATTTAATTCTTTGAAAAGGTATGGTTTATTGGTTGAACGCTTGTTACTCGATGCTTGCTCCCGGAGTTAAACTCACTCGTGACCGAAATCGAATATCACGACCACCCAAAGCTGGCCTCCTTCCTTCCACAAATTGTTTGCAAACTTGTATACTATACGAAGCCGTTCGCGGCGGATGATTGTCTACTGTGTCATGGAGTTAGGCCCTACCGCTGTAGCTTCTGTTTGTCCTTAGTGATGTTACTTTAGGCAGCTCAATCATTGTAATTTGAATAGTTAGCCACGGAACTTGTTCGCCGCGAAATTGTAATTTGTGTTATGTCCCATTGAAGGAGGGAGGAAAATGGTGCAATAATTTGCGTGTGTCACGACAGGTGCTTGGCAGAACACATGCTTTTTATATTTTCATTTCTTTTTTGAAATTTTGAGTAAATAAAATTTTATTATTTTAAAGATCTTTTTTTAATAGAGTGATCATTCAATAAAACATGTCTTGGTTTCTTGATGACCTAAGGTACATAAAGAATATTGCATCTTACATTTAAACTATACAAATACTTATTTGTGTTAAATATTTTTCTTGTGAATGTAGGAGATATATAGTCGATGATTTGTGAAAACAATTAAATGTCTCGACTATGACTGGAACTTTTTATAGAACTACTACTATATATATATGTTTAAATTTTACTTTAATTAGCTTAATTGATAAATATAATTTTAGGAACATAGGTATTTTATAAAAAATGCAAATATATATAGCATCTTATAGATTATTGTAGTATTTCAATTTACCTAATTTATTTATTTTATAAATACAAGCAAAGTTGATTTCTTCTCAGAACGTAATATGATGAATATTTAAAATATTTAATATATAGATTTTTGAAAAACCAGTTTTTAAATCATTATTATTGTTTTCTGAAAAGCATCATGTATTAGGCCTAATGAAGTGCTGAAAAGTTTTACACAAGTGACACAACATTTTTGACATCACAAATTGTGATTTTCGGGTCGAGTCTTGATATTTTTAGCTAAATAGCTAATATTGTTTTAATCCAGTTTTAGAAGATTTTTATAATATATTTATTTTATGTGATGTTACTCGAATTACCCGCTTCAATGTAAGATTTATCAAAATTGGGCTAACAGTATTTTAATGTAAGTTATAAAAGAAAATTGACATTTGTACATTCCTGACCACTTTTAAGAAATAGGACCTATGTTAAAAAATAAAGCGAAATAGGATTTTATGCAAGTACAATTTAATTTGATTAGTTAGAATGTAGTCTCACATATTACAGAAGTAGGCAAGGGCATCCCAATGCTTTGGTTCTCTTTCCTTATATTTCTTATGCAAGCTCTTAAACTCTTCTTGTTAGTTTGTTGCGTAAACGACTATTTGTTTTCGGCCTTGCGCGTTGCCTTTGCCTCACACTATGTATAATGTTTGAAATCCTCGCTTTTCCTAGGGCCGAGATGAAAGAACAAATTAGTCGATCGTATACTCTTGTTAGCATTTTGCATATAAGTTTATGGAGATTATAATTGTCAAATGTTTAATATGAAAACTATGAACATTGATATTGATTTGCTAAAAATGACATGTATAGATGTTTTCGATTTGTTTTTAAAAATTAAGTAAATATTTTGTACAATAAAATATTCTGTGCGGCGATTTATTTGATGTAGATTTTGATGTGTGTAACAGAGGCACCATGTAAATTTTATATAAGATTTATTTAATCGACCCTCATGACTTTCAATTGACTAGTTTGTAAGGATGAGTGGTAATAAAAAACTTTGTATATAATTCAATATATTACAGAAATTTAAGTAAAACTTTTAAGTAACATACTATGAATTTTATTTTACTACCCTGAGATCTGAAGTTTCTTTAGTTATTGCATGCGTATAAGGTATTTCCTATATTGTTCCACGTGTTGACCATGAATAACCTTCTTTTCAATATCCACAGGCGACAGCGGCCTCGATCACTATAATATATGAATCAATAGTTGTTAAAGTATTTGGTGTAGGATGTGCTAATATGAGATTTCTTCATTTTCTTGAATTGTCTGTGTGTTTTTGTCTATATTTGTTTTGTCTGTATATGTGTTATTGTCTATATTTGTATCAGTTAGTTAATGTCGTATTTTTTTATAAGGATGATGCATCTATAGAATGTAACTATAGGTATACATTATAATTGCTATTTGCGGTCCTACACTGAAATATTTTATTTAGGAAACTATAAATCATGCAAAAAGTAACCTACAATGTGATATTGTTGGTAACCATTTTCTATGAATAGTAAACTTCTGAAGATCTATGAAGATCTTAACGTGTAAGTTGCGGCAGTTATACATCAAATGTAGGTAGGTGAACATATTTTGTAGTCAATATTTTATACATTTTTAATTTCTCAATTAATTCAATTAATGCTTTCAGGTTTGAGTGTAGGCAAGCCTTCCAAGAAGAAAGTAAAGAAACAGGTTCAACAGGTCCCGGCACAAACTGTAACTATCTTTCTATAATAGATTTGTATATTGAAATCTGAAATCGGTGATCGGTAACCAATTTAATCGTTCCAGAAACCGGCACCACCGGTGGTGCCCGCCGTGGTGCCGCCGCCGGCCCCCGCGCCCGCGCCCGCCGCGCCGCCGCGCCCGAGCCCGAGCAGGAGGCCCCCGCGCCCGCGCCCTCGCCGCCGCCCGCCCCCGCGCCGCCGCCCGCCCCCGCCGTCATCGCACCGCCCGCGCAGCCGCCCGCGCCGCCCGCCCTGCACCCGCCCACGCAACCCGCGGTACACCCGCCCGTCACCACCGTCCCAGACTCCTCAAACATCCCCGTGCTTCGGGAGCCGGAGGTGACAAAACCACCAATTAAAGTGGAGCCGAGGAACGGTCTCGACAAAGTTGACACTTCCCACTACATAGACCCGATCGAACGCTCCCTGGCCAGCTTGGAGCGCAGCCTGCAGGCCGACGTGCCGATGGACGTGAGCGTCGGCGCGTCCGAGTCGTCGATGCGACTCGATGATTTCGCGCTACCGAAGCCCTCGATCGTGTCCGACAGTGCACACCACAACCTCATGGCTCAGCTCGGCGGGCTCACAGACATGACGCACGTCACGGAACAGATAAAGAACGACCTGTACGTGCCCCCTCACAATGGTTTTGTGGACAAGAACCCAACGCACGAGCGTGAGATGCTGAGGCCCGACGTGAACCCCAACATCCCGGGGCTGACGTCGGCGCCGCCGGTGGCGTCCATATTTGACCCCGTGTACTCTGCGCCGCACACGCACGCGGTCACGGCACAGTCGCACATGAACATGCCGAACGCTCCCAACCTGATGCAGTCGGTCATAAAGAAGGAAGAGATTAAACCCTTGCTCACACCGAAACCGATAGAGGACCTCATGGGTGTACCGAACATTGTTGCAAACAATTTACCTGATAGAGTAAAATACGAAATAGATAAAAAAGTGGAAGACACTAAGAACTCCCATTTTGCTCAAGCGTTCAAACTTAAACAAGAACAGAATTTGAAAAACGCCAGTTCGTGGTCCTCGTTAGCTCAAGCTGGCAGTCCACAGAATATACCGAATTTGGGTACCAATAATCAAATAAAGCAGAAACCTGTAATGGACAGCTTTCAAGTAAGTATTGATGTAATATTTGTGTTTACATTTATGATTAAAATATTTTCATTTAAGTAACGTAAAAAAATTAATTTAATTTAAAATTTAATATGAATTTCTATACAAACTCTTCTTTATTAATTAATAGTATGAATTTTCCAATGGCAGTCTTTACTATCGTTACATAAAGTAGTCCAGTGCACCAATAGCAACCACCAGCTGCAATTGCACTAGTGCAAAATTTTAGTCCGTACCCATTTTAAAACTGCGTAATCGATCAGTATTACAATTTTATTAATTAAGATATTTTAATTTTCACAGGCATTTAAGAAGCAGGCCCGTGAGAAGATGGATCGGCAACGAGCTTTAATAGAACAGCAAGAGCTTAGGAAAAAAGAACAAGCAGAGAAAGAAAGACAAAGGCAAGAAACAGAAAGGCGGCATCCCGAAGACGACAAAATGAGGTAAGATAAATGAAGAAGTTGATTAACGGATAGGATGGAATTGGAAATTAAAATAGAGCTGGAATGACAAATAAATAAAATATGGATTTGAGGTTTTGTAATTTTTAACATAGAATGTTATGTAATTGTATTAACGGAAATTCATAATGGTTATAGAAAAATATCAATTTTCATGGCGAATGGTTTCGAAGTAAAAGCACTACTGTAGTGCCATCTCTAGGCAAGTTATATGTTATGATTTATATGACCGTCGCCTCACCCGCGTCTCCACCTCGCACACCCCACACGATTACCCTGTTCTTCTATCCTCTTATTATGCTTTCGTTAGAAGACTGCATGGTTTAGTAGACTGTGGTATCATAGTAATGATGATTTCATCTCGACCGATTTCGGCTACGGCGACCAATCTCATTGAGACATCACCATCTGCGCAGTAGATATTATGCACAAGTGAGCGCGCAAACACAAGTGCTCTCTCTATTCCTGTCACTCTCATACTTCGGTGGGACGACCTCTCTACACGACGTGTGAGAGTTAAGGCGCAGGACCGACGGCTTTACGTGCTCTCCGATGTAAGGCGCCAGCTTTCCAACTCCGCGCTATTACTGAGAATTTCTTGATAAAAGTACCCAATAAGTGAACTTGACCCGACCCGGGACTCGAATCCAGGGCCGTAGCCACTAGATTTAGTGTGATAGACTGATATTAACGACATGGGGTCTCATCTGAAATAAGGAAAATAGATCCCAAGAAAGTGTATTATTGTTTAAAAAAAAATATTGTAAGTGAAGGGAAACGAAATAATGCGCTCGAAAATCAAATTTGCGTAATTTTACTTATTTTGAAATTTCAGCAATAAGATGATAAGTTTGTAGTATATATTCACAGATGTCGCTTTTACATTTTATGAATTATTTATCACGGTTAAAAATAGTTAAAATCAAAGATTTTTTTTTATTCAATTGCATTATGAATTTTAGAATATTTACCATAAGTTTGCACATATTTATAAAACAAAACAATTTGCGAATCAACGACATGTATTATCTATTCAAGCAAACAAAAATAGCCCGAACAATAACCCGAATTAGCTCTGTCCAATTTCTTTGTATGGGATGAGGCATCTGTACTAGTATAGTAATGTGATCTGTGAGATTAATAAGTACCGGTATCGCAGGGTCGGCGTGAGCGCGCGCAAGGCGGAGAGCGCGGAGGTGTCGTCGCCGTCGGTGTCGCCGGTGGCGCGCGGGTCGCCGCCGGCCGCGCCCGCCGCGCCCGCGCCGCCTGCCGCGCCCGACAAGCCGCCCGCCTCCGAGCGCGACCGTCTGCGGCAGCGCGAGCAGGAGCGCCGTCGACGTGAAGCGGTAATATTATGATTTTTTACTTAGTGTAAACTAAGTGTAAGTTATTTAGGAATATAATATTTTTTAAGACTTACCAGATGTCGCTGAATCTTACAGATTGCCTTTTTTTAAAGTTCCGTACCCAAAGGGTAAAACGGGACTTTATTACTAAGACTCCGCTGTCCGTCCGTCTTGTCTGTCCGTCACCAGGCTGTGTCTCATGAACCGTGATGGACAGTTGAAATTTTAACAGATGATGTATTTCTGTTGCCGCTATAACAATAAATACCAAAAAACAATAAAATAAATATTTAAGGGGGCTCCCATAAACAAACGTGATATTTTTGCTTGATTTTGATATAATTAAATTCAAATAAAACAAATATTTAAGTGGGGCTCCCATACAACAACATGATTATTTTGCCGTTTTTTAATTTATTCTATAGTATGTGTTGTAAAAAAAATACGCTTAACTGTAATGTGTGGGATAATAAAAGTCTAATGATTCCTTGATCTATCGTCAGCTAATCAGTTTTTTTTAGCTTCAACATAATAATTGTATACTGTCGCATAAAATGCATTAAAAGTTCTTTTTATATGTCCTCAGATGGCTGGTCAGATAGACATGAACATGCAAAGTGACCTGATGGCAGCGTTCGAAGAATCTTTGTAATGCGTTAGGCGGACAACATTTAATTGTACATATATAAGTATAATATAAATATAACGTCAATGCAATTTATACATATGGTGGTGATGTATGACACCGGAGTGAGTTGGTGACTGTTTTGTGTGTGAACTGTTGACTAACATGTGGTTAAGTGCTGTGAATAGATATACTTATTATAAATTATACTGTTGTACCATCAATCTGGATTTTGTGCTACGTTGTGTTTGCGTGTCGACGCGGGCCGCGCGCCATAGGCCTTTACGAGGGAGTTGCATTTTAAAATAAACTGTATTATAATAAGTTTGTACGGGAGTTCTCGATGTAAACTCTCTACATTCGTAAGCCCGTAATATATTTATATTTTGTTGTAGAAGCGTCGTCTACCTTCCGAACTTGTTTTATAGTATGTACTAATAAATAGAATGGTAGTAATTGAAATTGGGAAAAAAATCAAAAAATGTTTTATTTTTATGTAATTGATGAATAGACAATCGACTTTTTAACCATGAAATCTGTTATTCTTCCCACGCCCGCCCGGCGTCGCGGCGGCGGCGTTGCGGCGTCGCGGCGTCGCTATACGTTATGTATTTAATAGTAAATAAAGTTTCTGTTACGTGTTCGATTTTCGATAAATATTGCTTAATGTTAGTAGATTTTTTATCACTCTGTCAACAGGAAACAGATCAAATGTCATACATTTGATTTGAAATATATTTATTTTACATTGGAATATGTCTTTTTATGTTTTGTAGTTAGCCGACTCCAGTGGGAAATGTATTCAAGTATAATCGAAATTCAGCATACTCATAGGGTTATGGTATCAGTGAGTATGGTTTATACTATATTGACCCTCCAAACAAAATTGTATATTGTTAAGCAAATTATAATTTCAAACATTTTCCAGACTCAAATCAAAATGTAGATAAAAAGTAAAATATATTGACATTCCATATTGTACTGTGTTGTTTAAATTCATGTATAATTTTAAAGCGATATGTATATCTTCTCTCGATCCACACATACTGGTTTAAACAGCAATTGAATAAATCTTATATCTACACGTTTCAGATGAAAATTCATTTATTATACCTGAATCATTATAGGGTGGCATTTACGACAGTAAACTGTATATTCAATTATTAAAATTTCCTATTTCTTTATGTTCCTAAACGGCAGAAATAAGTTATTTTTAGATAATATAAAAATGTGGTCTAAAAAAATGGGTTGCCGTTATGTCCCATAAAAGAGATTTTTCACATTAAATCGGTTTTCAATGTTGCCATAATTGCCATCTTATCTTGATTTGACTTTAGTATAATTATAAGATTACACATTTTTACACACAACTAGATAGGATAATTAAAATATTTATATGTTGAGCTTTGATGATGGACACAATGTTTATCGTTATTTATTAAAATTATATTTGATTCCCCTAAAAGAAAATATGAGGACATTGGACAACTTTTTTGCTTTATCTATCAAAAATCGATATTAAATTATGTCTAAATTGTAATTAAGTCTATTACCGTCTGTCTATCCCACCATTAAAGAGCTCTTTCTTCAGGACTAATTTTTACTCATTTATATATTTTACAGAGTGAGTTAATGTGATGGATTGTATCCTAAATATGTTATAATAATTTTAAAAAATACGGGTGGCCTCCATTCGTGTTTATATTTTATAGCTCCAACTTTTTTAATAAAAAAAATACACAAGACTTCAAATTCTCATTAAAAATAGTTATTTCTCCCTTATTAAAAGATGATTAGAGCTTTTTTGTTAAATTGTATAAGAAATTATCATATATATATAATCAGTAAAAAATCTGCTGAAGTAATTTTAACAATGTTAAGGAACTCAAAAGCTGAACTAACACTGAGAAGCGCCATCTATTATTATTATAAAAGATTACATATTCAAAACAAATCAATTTTATTATGGAGTCTCATCAAAAACATTCTGAAAGTTTGTGGATTAACGACATCTATTATCTATTCAAGCAAACAAAAATAGCTCTGTCAAATTTTTATATGGGATGAGGCATCTATACTGCTATAGAATACTATTTGCCATCTGTGGTATTATAAAAAAATCATTTTTTCAGTATTTTAAAAAACAGTACCTAGTAGTAGTTAGAGTTATAAATTCAAAGATTAGCTTGAATATATGTATTATTATATAATATATTAAGCAACTAGCATTGCCCGTGGCTCTGCCCGCGTTCAGATGACCAATAACCAAATTCTTAGGTTTTACATATTAGTTTATGCTTACGTTACAGTTTTTGGATTTTTTCTCAAAAATGAGATATTTTCCTGGAGTAAAAAGTATCCTCTATCTGAATAACCAGTTATCACCATACCAAACATCAAAATCCCTCCAGTGGTTTTTTGTGATGTGGTAACAGACAGACAGACAAAAATTCTAAAAACTAGATTCGGCCTGTGCACCGATAATAATGTCAAAATTCAGATTTTCCAAAAAATATTTAATGTACAGATTCGACTTAGTTGAAATTTTATTATATGTATAAATAAGCAGAGTTCGAGATTATGAGTTAGGAAAGGACTTTAACGCACTACAATATTAATAAAGAAATATATTTTTTACCCACTAATAGAGGAGCTTCCTGGGGTTGGCACTTTAGTCTTAAATATGTAACCGGACGACATGACTTCGAATCTTATGTTCCATGACACGAGGTCTAATCAACAAATTAGTTCAAATATATGTCAATAGATGGCATTATATATCGATTTCTTATAATTTGTGTAAAATTAACAAAAAATAAAAATAGATCTCAAAAAGGTAAAGATATATGTTTTATAAATATTTTAATTAAAGGTATACGAAATAATGCATTCTTAAATCAAATTTACGTAATTTTACTGATTATTATTGATAAATCAGCCATTAGGTAAGAGATGGTGCTTTTTATTAATTATAAGTTGATTAGGACGGTTAAAAATTGTTGAAGTCACTATAATTGGTTTAATGCAGTATGTAGGTGTGTACCACGTACGTAACTAACATATTTGAGTACACAATTTCTATATAAATAAAAATAAATAAATGTTCGTATGTTTGCCCTTTATGCCTTCCTAAAACATTATTCCGATTGTGATAAAACTGGTGATTATTCTGTATAATCCTGCGAGGGTTCCTGGCGCAACACAAGATTTTTGAAGTGATACTTCTTTAGGCGCGCCATGAGAGGGAAGAAAAGGATTGGCGTTACGATTATTGTAACGGAAACGGTTACGCTGGGCCGTTACGTTACGAAAGTGAAACTTCTTTTTTTAAATGAGCGATGGAATCATATCAAATGAATATTCTTAAAAAAATACTTATCTGAAATAATTTTTATACATGAAAATAATTATTTTTTTCACAAAAAAAAGTGCATTCCTGTAATATTCTTTATTTCATTGGAGTAAATTATAATTTATTGAATCATTACATCATTTGATTTAAAATTTCATCTTAAGAGCATCTGTACTATGTGAATAATAAATATTGTTTTTCTTTTTAAATCAATAAAAAAATATTTTTTTAGTATCTCTCCGATTATTTAAAACATAAATAGAATTTCATAAAAAGTACCAATTCCTACAGTTTTACTTCTTGCGTGTGTACACATTGTTAAACACAATCTTTAATTTCTTTTCTTTTGACGTGTCTTTTATGCAATCCTAAGAGCCATTCCAGCTTAGGGACGCATTCAAGCGAAGCGAGAGTAAGTCTCTTGTAGGCTATGAATAAATAAATTTATTCGTAGCTTGTTGCTAGAAGATTGATAAAATAGTTTGATAGTTTGCAAATCAACGCCATCTATCGTATATTTAAGCAAATAGGTAACAAAAGGCCAAATTAGCACTGTCAATTTTCTTTTTTTTTAATTTCTTTGTATGATATAAGAGCATCGGCTTATCAGGAAGAGGAACAATGAAAAATTAGTTCAAATAAATGTCAATAGATGGCATTATTGTTTAGATTTTCTCCCAATGGCTGGCTAATTTTAAATGATCCAAGTAAAGCAGAACGAAATAGTGCCTGCAAACAATAGTATTATATGTTCATTGCTTCTACTAGCTCAACAATAAAAGTAAATACCATTTTGACAATATTGTGTATTTCTTAACAAAGCTTGAGTTTTGTTTATTAAAAATATTTATATTGGTTCCGTGAAAATTCGAAATCATAAAAAAAATATCTACACACTATCATCTCAGATAAACAAATAAAATTCCTTCGGAAAAATAAAAAAGCCTTACATTTTCGCACCATTCGTTAAAAAATAAAACAACAAAAACAGGTTGGAATAATAATATATCACATTCCTCTTACTGTACAACTAAATTAGGCTACAGACAAGCACTTATATATTAGAATTACATTTAATATGTATATTTTAATTAAATAAATTCATGTGCCTATGAGGCTGAGTCCCACTCGATGAGGTACGCGGGGGGATCTCCGGGAGCGAGGCGGCGGGCGAGCACGCGGAACGTTTGTCCAGCGCGGAAGTATGACTGGACGCGGGATTTGAGCGCGGACAGCTGCCGTGCGTCCGTGTCGGCCGCGCACGCGCCGGCCTTGTGCGGGCTGAGCTGGAGGCTTTTGACGCTATTGGCGACCGCGCCAGGCTGCACTGTGTTCCTACGAGCGTTTTCATAGTAGTTCTTCTCTTGCCGCTGACGGAGCCTCCTGCCGTGGAACTTGGGGAGGTGTGAGGTCGTCACGTCGCCATTCTCCCCGGTCTGGCCGGCAGGCTTCGCAACGTCGTCTGGCAGTGGACATGATTTATTGAGCTGGAATTATATTACGTCTTTGGTTATGTTTTAATAATAACTACGTATTAAAAATGAAGTTGGCTTTGTGTTTGTTTGGACTAATCTTAGAAAATACTATATGGATTTTAATATAGTTTTCACCAAAAAATGAGGGCTTATCTAGAAAGGAAAGCTATAATTTATGACCTTTTGCAAAAACTAATCTACCAGTAAGAATATTTGAATTAAGTCGGACAAAATAGTCTATTTAGGACGAGCATCCCTGTGAAGTAAGAGTAAGACACTATAATTGATTCGCGTTAAGAAAATAGTGAGACATCGTTGTCCACGGGCCTAGCCACACCCCCCGACCAATTAGGTTGCATTAAATTATGAAAGTCAAGTCACAGTCACAATGACTAGTGGAAGACAGACTTAAATATATTGTTAATGACTTTATTTTGATTTGAGATAATTAAGTTCATTAATTATCTCAAATCAAAATAAAGTCATTATCATTATATGATGACTTTATTTTGATTTAAGATAATTAAGTTTATTAATCATCTCAATTAAAAATAAAGTCATTATAATTACTTCCTATCATAAGTTGATTAATTATCTCAATTCAAATAAAATAAATTTAAAAAATTCAATTAAAATAAATTCATTGTCATCTCAAATAAAGATTTGAAATAAGTAAGATATTTAAATAGATTTTTATCCATTAAACTTAATCTTTTGAAATATTGAATTTGAATTGAAATTTTACTCCCACTTTGTATACACCTTTACATGCCGTTGCACTTGATGACTCACTATTTTCTTAACGCGAAAGGACTATATTATGTAGTGTTATTTAAAGGAACGTGAAAATAACGCAGTTCTCTATCATATAATTTAAAATTATTTTTCAATAGCTTTAGATTATATATATCTCTAAAGTTAAGGATTTGAAATCTGCTATTATATTTTTATCACATAGAAATTATAATAGAAAAATCTGATATATATCTAATTTCACAATACTAATTATATTATAAAAAATAAAGGTTTACCTTACCTGTAACTGTAAATGCTTTCGCGGCCGCCTGTACTTTCTCCTTTTTACTTCTCCATTGGGACCTATTACTATATCCTTCTCACTCAGTTTCCGTTTCAAAGGTCTCACCATGGGTCCCATGAGTGGGTTCAATTGATTTGGCAATGAAAACCGTGAGTGGTAGTGGTGTCTACCATTTTGTTTATTATACATATTCATATTTGACGAAAACGGAGTTTTGGATGGATACGTGTTTTGCATCAAAAAAGGATTGTTTTTTCCTTGGAAGTCTTTCAGCGGTGGTATTATGGCATCTAACGTACCTCTACTCGAAGTCTCGTCTCCGGATGATTCTAACTCATGGGTGAAACTATTACACGGGGGCTTATTATCCATATGTTGTAGAGACATTATTTTGGAATGTTCAATAATGTTTTTAGTGGAGAGTTTGGACACTTCTAAGTTCATAGTGGCTATTCTAGAGGTATGTGTATTAATATTGATGTTGCAGTCGTTGTTGCTTGAATTGACGTCGTCTGTGTTTTCTTTGGGTAAATTGTCTAACTTAACTGAGCACGGTACGAGGGAAGTGTCGAGTGATGGCACTGGTGATACGTCACATGTGGACTTCGCTTCGTTTGTTTCAGATTCATTAATTTCGGTAGTTTTTTCTAAAGCGTCTTCTTTGGCATCGGATTTTCTAGCGGTGGACGTACACACGGAGGGGGACGGTTGGTCGTCTCGTTCCGTTGTTTTGACAGATTCATAAGAACTGGCCGAATCGTTTTCACTGTTGGAATTCGAGTTGAGATTTTCGTGGAACCTCTTCCCCATCATCAGATTCAACCAGTGACCATCTACTGGCACTATCATATGTTGATTGTGACTCTTATAGGAACTTTTTTCGTTGTTACTACTGGAAGGCTGCAAACTGAAAATAAAATATATGTGTACGTTGTACAGTGATAAATCAATTACAAGGTTGTTTATAACAATCATTATACCTATCATCAACAGGTAAAACAGTGTGTGGCGACGGTGCTCTGGACAGAAACCGTAGACGTGGTGCATATTCTCGTACAAGCTCATCAGTCAATGGATCTCCTTTTTTAACCTGGAAAAATTGTTGATAGGAAAAATACTTTATTATTTTCTAAGCATGGTTGACTACGTCGAAACGTACTACGTGTTACGTAGCCATTTGTAAAGAATTTCAGAGTGGCAAAGATATAATGTATTCAATCTTTTTTCAACATGGGCACAGTAGTTTTTTCGTTACGAGCGTTGATCCCTACAATGTAAGGAGCCAGAGTCCACCGTAGTCAATATTTTCACAAAAAAAAAGCGCGCTCAAATGCGCTCATTCGGTGAGGACATTTTTTGTCGCTGATTGTGTATCTAGTACTTTTTTGATCGATGGTTAAAATATTATTATAGGCACCTGTTCTAAAGCGGAGAGCTGCATGGGCGGCGGCGGCGGACGGCGCAGGCGCAGGCCCCAGATGGTGGCGCGCTTCTTCATCTCGCGCCCGCACTTGAAGCGTTTGCGTGACGACGTCAGCGCCGTGAGGATCTTCTCACGCCGCTCGTTCACCGGCGTTCGCCACATCTGATACATAGACATATTAATTTAACACTTGACTAACAAATACTAATACCACAGTTAATGTAATACTTATAATTACAGAATAATTGGTCAAGTGCTACAAAAACCATTACCCTCCTGCCGCTGTCACATAATTATAAATCAATATCTTTCACCTACATTCTTTACAAAATAATAATACTTTTCGTTGTTAATGACTCTAGACGTGGCACAATAAGTAATTTAAAAAAAGCTTACAAACGTGACAAGCTTTTATATAATAAGCTAGCGACTCACCCTCGCTTTGCTTGGGTTCATCCTTAGGTACGTTTTAAACGGTTAGTTAGTATGGAATAGATAGACTATATATGCAAAGGTACAATGAATTGTTGTGGTTTGTATTATATCGTGTTTTCCGTCGGAATGAGATAATCTCCCGCTATTTTTCTTATGTCACTCGCTAGCCTTGTAACTATCTCCACACAAAAAATCAAGCCAATCCTATGACTCTGTTTCAACGTGAAAGAAGGACAAATAAACAAATACTGTCACATTTATAATAATAGTATGTATATTGTTGAATTTTGATTCAATGAACACAAATTTAGAAAAATTATTAGTTACTCACTCGTCACTGGAGTACTAGATAATTTTAACCAATCTTTCCTCCAATTAATAAAATCAATTTTCACATACTTTATAACATTTAAAACACCTACATATGAGTACTAAACAGACACACCCACAAAGTCTCAACAAAACAGAAACCCAACCAACCTTCTCAGGCAACTGCAACGCGTGCCAGTTATCCATAATGTAGGGCATGATGACTGTGTCGAGGTCGAAGTAGTTGGGCGCGTTGTACACGGTGAGGTTGTACAGCGCGAGGTGCGCCAGCTCCAGCCAGCACAGCTCCAGCCGTCGGAGATATTCTTCGCCACCGTTGCATTTGGCGCATGCGAATATGTACAGCCTGTGTGCACAAAATGATTGAATAATGGTGTTTAGAATAAGGGCATATACATAATATGTACTGTCAAGGCAAAGTGAGTTTGTGTCGATACAAAATTAGCTGTTTCTAAATGTTTCATCATGTCAACATAAAAGCAAATATTCAATGATATCTCTGTGATCAATGCGTTCAAAACCGGAAGCGTTCACCGACTTGCGACAGGCACATTGAATATTAGTGTAAGACTTGAATGTTTTTGACTGATGAAGTCTACGCTCTGACCAGTGCCACACCAAAACCACAAGCCTGAGAGCTTGCAGCTGGAACCCAAAAACCTTGGTGGACTCTTATAATGATGGGTTTGTGGAAGCTATCCATCAGTTGGGTCAAAGTATTTAAAAAGTCACTAATAAAAATTTTAAGTAACCCCTGACACAAAAAAAGTATAAAAAGTAAAAAAATAAAATTTCTCTCTTGGCCTCTTAACTTCATTAAAAGTAATAATAATAATAATGAACACTTTATTGCACACCACACAAGAAAATAAATAAAGAAGTGAAATACATAACAATAAAAAGATGCACAGCAGGCGGCCTTATCGCTAAAAGCGATCTCTTCCAGGCAACCTTAGGGTAGAGGAATCAGTATATAAAAATGGTAGGCGGTGTACTTGTATAAATACATACTTATACACATACATATATACATACATACATACATAAATACATACATACATACATACATACATAAATACATACACAAATACATACATACAAACATATATGCATACAAGCAGTATAATAGAAAAATATAATCAGTATTTAAGTTACGTATTTCAAATAAATACATATAAGATACATATAATATCAAATATATTGTACATAATATATTATAGTAAGACCAACTAAAGAGATAAATAATGCGTTTTTAACATCATTTTAAACTTGTCCAAATTATCAGCCCGTCTGATGTGTACTGGTAAAGAGTTCCATAGACGTGCAGCTTTCACAGAAAAGGAGTTGGTAAGAAAACAAGAGGAGTGAGAAGGAATTTTGAGGATAAGCGTTTCACTAGAACGCGGGGAACGAGTATGAGAATTCCTTAGAAGCTCGAAACGCTCTTTGAGATAGGAAGGGGTAGAAGGATTAAACAGCACGCAGTAGAGGAGATGAAGTATGTGAGTATTCCTGCGAAAGCGGATTGGGAGCCACTTGAGTTTTTTGCGAAAGTGAGAAACGTGGTCATATTTACGGAGACCGAATATGAACCGTATGCAAAGATTTTGAAGGCGCTCATGTCGATTCAGTCTCTTTAAGGTCAAGAAAACAAATATCAGCATAATCAAGTATTGGTAATAAAAGTGAATTTGCCAGCGCAATTTTAGTAGGTACAGGCAGAAAATTTCTCAACCTGCGAAGGGAGGAAACAGCTCCAAACATCTTGCGGCTCAGTACACTTACCTGGGGCCCCCAGGATAAATGCTGGTCAAAAATGATTCCTAGGTTTTTTACTGTTTCGGTAAAAGGAATTTCAACATCGTTTAACATCACCGATGGTATCAATGACCGAGTAATTTTAGAATGCAGTTTCTGGCTGCCTATTATAATAGCTTGCGATTTAATAGGGTTAATATCAAGGCCATATGATTTACTCCAAGCAGAGATTCTGGCAAGATCATTATTAATTAAATTAACTGTATGAGGTAAGTCTGATAGAGATGTGGTTGCGTAAATTTGTAGGTCGTCGGCATATAGGTGGTAGAGAGAAGAAATTTGATGGCAAATAGAATTAATGAAAATTGAAAACAGGAGAGGAGACAACACGCCACCTTGTGGGACACCGGCATTAATCGTATTCCAATCAGAAAAGGAATCCTCAATTCGTATACGCTGCCGGCGGCCACACAAGTAACTACGAAACCAGTCAATCACCTCAGGAGATATGTTAAGAGAAGTTAATATGGCAATTAGTATATCAAAATCAACAGTGTTAAAGGCATTACTGAAGTCTAATAGTACCATCACGGTAACCTTCTGACTGTCCATACCCTCTCTAATATCATCAGCGATTTTGACCAATGCAGTAGTCGTACTATGACCGATGCGGAAACCGGATTGAAAGGAGTTTAAAAGATTATGATTAAAAAGAAACGTACTTAACTGTCGATGCACAAGACGCTCCAGTACTTTCGATAGGAAAGGGAGAATGGATATAGGACGGTAGTCAGCAAAAGAGGATGGATTAGACTTTTTTGGAATAGGAATTACTTGACCATCTTTCCAGGCAGTAGGAAACTTATGGGAAAGTAAGGAGGAATTTAAAATTGATGTAATTGTAGGAGCTATTAAGTCAAGAACAGGAACAATCATTTTACGACTAATGCTGTCCGCGCCCACCGCGTTAGATTTTATGGTTAAAATGTTTCTCTTAACATCACTAATGGAAAATTGACTAAATGAAAAATACGGAATATCAGGAGTAGGTAAAAGTGAAAGTTGATTAATTGTATTTAATTTGTTTGTACTATCTATAGTACCAGAAAGTGAGAAATGCTGATTTAACAAATTTAAGTCGATATTAAGGGGATTGATACATTGTTGTGCCTTTCCTACTCCAATAGATTTAAGAAAATTCCAGATTTTTTCTGAATCATCTTCCTACCTATTAATATTTTGATGATGAGCGTCGGGGAATTGCGAGGTGACTAATAAAAGCTGTTAAAGTAATTCAACAGCCGTATTTTTCCGACTTCAATTAAAGTTATTATGATTTCTGACAGCAATGAGCAAACACATTTTTATCGCAATAAAAAGTAGTATCGACGGTAATTTAGCTTTCTATCAGTGAAAGATTTTTCTGAATCAGATCAGTAGTTTGAGAGATTACTCTCTAGTCTCTACATAAAATCCTACAAATTATACCTCTTACAATATTATTGTATTCAGCCCTTTTTAACCACTGCTGGGCGCGGGCCACACTTCAGTACGAGGGGAATTAGGCCATAGTCCACCACGCTGGCTGGTTGGCGGACTTTACATGTCATTATAAAGTTGCTAAATGATCTCAGACATGCAGGTTTCCTCTCGATTCATTGTAACACAAAGAGTAATCATGTTGGCCCAGTAGTAACGCGCTCCCCCCCCAACGTGCGTTCACCTTGTCGTGGTGGGGGGGCTCAGTAGTGTACTCGCGAAGCCAAGAAACGCACAGGGAGGTGGCCCGCTTCGGTGGGCGGTGGGAGGCGGCCTTCTTCGGAGGGCGGTGTACCATGCGGGTTGCTCCTGGTACTTCTCTGATAGCAGAGTGGACCGTGGAGCAACCCCATGGTTGTTGTGGTCTGCTTCGGCAGACCTGCCGTCGGGGCGTCGTAGTTGAATGCGTAAGCGATCCTGCGACGCCCCATTAAGACGGGGGAAGGTTTTGTTGGGTTTTAGTGGGTAGTACTGGCTTCGCCGGTGAGTCCCACACTTCGTGCGTAAATGCATTTCCCAACGTTAAAAAAAAAAAAAAGTGGTAACGCGCTCGCTTGGGAAACCGAGAGAAGCGGATTCTAATCCCGGGTCTCGCACCTCTGATATTTTCATGTACGAATCATTTCCAGCATGATTTATAATATTAATGTACATAAAATAATACGCACTTATCACCCGCATACAACGGATACTGCAAACTCGAGACGCATCTTTGGTGGAACCAGCGGGTACATCGACAGCATAACAACATCTGAAACCAAATAACATTATATAACATTATGACGCGATAAAAAATCAAATTCAAATGTATTGGACATACTTGCGCAAGCCAATCACTCTTTTCACCACAATAGCAGTGTACCTCATTCTGTTCTTTCCCTGCCTCGGAAGCGTTTGACGATGTCGTGGACGCCGTCTGAAAGAAAAAACAAACGTAATTTCAACACTTTATTATTATTTTTTAGGTTTCCTACCACAAGGAAATAGGAATCCTCATAGGAATCACTTCCTTGTCCGTCAGTCTGTTGTGCAAGTCAGACTCGCACCTGTCCTATACACACTACGCTTCATAAGCGCACCTTGTCTGTGTGCGTTTTCAGCTCAGATAAATATAATAATTAAAAAAATATGATTAACATAATAAAAATGCGCAACAATAACATCGATAAAGGGCGTAAATAAGTTCGTGTGCATAGGCCCTTATCTATTATAGATATTTTAATCTTATACTATGCTAGCATTGCCCGCGGCTCCGCCCGCGTTCATATGACTAAAAATAAATTCTTAGGTTTTACAGATTAGTATACTCTTACATTGCAGTTTTGGTATTTTTTCTCAGAAATGAGATATTTTCCCGCGGTAAAAAGTATCCTATATGTTGACCCGGATAACCAGCTATCACCATACCAAATTTCATCAAAATCCCTTCAGTGGTTTTTCTGTGAAGCGGTAACAGACAGACAGACAGACAAAAATTCTAAAAACTATAGATTCGGCCTCTGTATCGATAATAATGACTATTTCAATAAGATTTTCCAAAAAATATTTAATTACTCCAGTAAATCATTTCCCTGGGATAATAATAAAATCCAAAAACCAAATGTTAAATATTACACTATATTTTGAATTAAATTTTTAGATAATATGTTTTAATATTTTAACATTTATCTAGTAAATCTATACATTAAATATTTTTTGGAAAATCTTATTGAAATAGACATTATTATCGATACAGAGGCCGAATCTATAGTCTTTACAAATTTTTTACTAATATGTAAAACCTAAGAATTTGGTTTTAGGTCATCTGAACGTGGGCGGAGCCGGGGGCAATGCTTGTAAATAAATAAATTACAATATAAAATAGGTAGCGTACAAAGAGAATATACATAGAGGGTATACGAGACCAAGATCACAAGACGGCGGTAAATTATTCCCGTGGGATAGTAGTTCAATTTGAATGTTATGGCTGGTATATAAACAGTATATCGCATTTGCAGGCATACATGCTGGCCAGTGGGGCATCGAGGCAGTAAACATAAAGTACGTAATATTAGGGATGTTAAGCTTTCACTCCGATTCCAAATACGAACTGCATCCGTTTTTACTGCCTACAGTATCGACTTGTCCACGAGGGAATCTCCATACGCTCTTTTTCACAATATCGCTAGTTAATATTGTCAGCAGGTTAAGCTGCTTGCTTTGTGACAAGCGCGATTGAATTTTGACTTTGTTCTTGACTGTAATTTTCTACTCCGATTCTAAATAAACCATCCCTACGTAGCATTTAAAGGGAATACATAATCCACATACGAGTCCGTCTCTGGTCTCAATGAAATCACTTCAGTCACTTCCCTAGGTAATATATAAAGAGCATACACAATACAAATACGACTCCGAGTCTAGTTCCGATATAACCACCTCAGGAACAACCCTACGTAGCATAGAAAGAGTATACACAATACACATACGACTTCGACTCTGGTTCCGATAAAAAACCTCAGTTACATCTCTAGTGCCTAGGTAGCAGTGGCGAAGGGTCCATACAAGACGTCTTACCTTAAAATGTATTTTGCTATAATTTTTTAATTTACATACAATTAAATTTTTAAATGTATAAATATTCTTGTGGAAATATATAAACAATAATAATAGCATTATTTCTTTTCGCATTAATACGTATATAAAAATTGTATATTAATGTTTTTTTGTGTTTCTTTTGGAACGGCTTGCCTCTGCTAAAACTTCACCCTTCGCCACTGCTAGGCAGCATATAAAAACTACACAATACACATAGAGTATACGAGACCAACATCGCAAGGCGGCGTGAGGTCCTGCGGCGCGCGGCGCTGGCCCTTGAAGCGGAAGATGTCGGAGCGCTTGAGTGCGCGGTTCTCCGCCGCCGCCACGCGGTAGCGCTGGTCCACGCAGCGCTTGCAGTGCCACGACGCGCCTGTGGGCAACGTCACGGGTTATTTAATACTAGCTAATACTCTCTTAGATATACGCGAATATTTGACATTTTAAATAAAACTATCTTTTCGGTTTTTTTCGCGAATTTATTTTAATTTTTGGTTCTCGACGTTTTGAATGTTTTGGTCACGGGAGAGACCATGATTGCATTATCAATCTCCCGTGACCATGATTGCTGTAAAGCATTCGAAACGTCGAGAGCCAAAAATTAAAATAAATTCGCAAAATAATCCGAAAAGATAGTTTTAGTACTAGCTACTTAACCGGGATAGTCGGGATAAAACATCCCTAGGGATAAATTATTAGGGTCACATAGGAAAAACACACAGATTTTTTTTCAGGTTTGGACCCTTCGCGGGCGTATGCAGAGCGACTCACGAGTTAATAAAATTATCACAATCAGATAAATGGTTTAGGTACGCATAGAATACAAGTATACAAACAAATATCATTTTTATTATATTATTATATGTACATTAGGGCGACCCAAAAAAAAGGATTATTTTTTTTTTCATGTCTCGTGTGAAAATATGTTAGTTTACTATGTTTTAAGAGTCCCCTCCAAAGGACAGCTCAAAAAAAATTTTTTTAAAGGTCGCTCACAATTTTTTTTAATTTCCTAAATCCTCAAAAATCGATTTTTTTTTTCAAATGCTTTTTCTCGTAATTTCATTTCTTTTTACATGAAAAATTATGAAGATCCTGAAAATTTCAAGTCAAAATTTTTGTATTTAGAGGTCGCTACAATTTTTTTAAGTTTTCAAATCGAGTACTTTATATCTATTTGAGCAACTTCTTAACATGAATATTAACGAACTTAATATTTTTTTCCTTAAATTTCACATGCTAAAGAATGAAATTAAAGCACGAGAAACAAAAAAAAATTAATGAACAATCCTCACCATTTTTGGAAATAGATATAAAGTACTCGATTTGAAAACTTAAAAAAATTGTAGCGACCTCTAAATATTAAAATTTTGACTTGAAATTTTCAGGATCTTCATAATTTTTCATGTAAAAAGAAATGAAATTACGAGAAAAAGCATTTGAAAAAAAAAATAATCGATTTTTGAGGATTTAGGAAATTTAAAAAAATTGTGAGCGACCTTTAAAAAAATTTTTTTTGAGCTGTCCTTTGGAGGGGACTCTTAAAACATAGTAAACTAACATATTTTCACACGAGACATGAAAAAAAAAAATAATCCTTTTTTTTGGGTCGCCCTAATGTACATAACTTCACACTATATACTTTGCGGAGTGCCGAATAATAACAAGTGGAAGATCTTAGAACCTCTTTTCTTATTTAATTTTTTAAACAAACAGGCATTGGAAGGCTCCTCACATTTCAGCTTGCCTTTAAGAACAAGTACGTTTTCAAGTCTTATTAGTTCTTCCTTAGCGCCTTCCACGCTTCCAAAAAGAAATTAGTTTCGTCTAATAGTCTCGCATTTACAGTAGGTATTTAAGATCTTGTCAGCCTTCTGAAATGGGCCGCATGAGATATTAATTATTATAGTGCATAAGTATGCACATAAGTAAGTATGGACACAAGTATTCTGTATTCCATTCACACTCAAACTCCAATGGGTCACAATTCGTCCAATACTCCAACTACAGGCTGTCACTAAGGATTTCTAAAAAGAAAAACTCTAACTGTACTTGACCTGACAGCCGTAAATGCTAGCCACTAGTCCACCGAAGCAGTCAAAAATAACAAACAAGTAAACAACAACAAAAAAAAACAAACAAACCATTAATCCAGGCTTCAACCGGCGGCGTGTGACACTTGGCGTGGTACCCGCGGCCGCACATGTCGCACGCCACGATGGCGTTGGGCGCGGGCGCGGCCGGCGCGGGCCCCTCGCGCCGCTTACACACCACGCACATGATGCGGCCGTCGTCCGCGGGCGGCGCGCTCAGCAGCTTGAGCGACGCCACCGGCGCCCACGCGTGCGTGCCGTCCCCGAACTTGACCAGGCACCGCGCCACGCCCGTGCCCACTTCGCACGAGTCGTTGTCATTGCTTGTGCTTAGCTCTACTATTGTACCTGTTTAGAATTATATAACAATTTAAAATTATACAACAATTTAGTCCCTAAGTACTTAATAGTGGTTTATGTGTTACTCCACATCATCTATACTATAGATTATATTATAGAAAGTTTGTGAGTTGGTGATTTTGTGACTTTGTAGGGGGTAATCTCTGGATCTGCTGAACCGATTTAGATGAAATTTGGTAAGAAGATAGTTTGAGACCCTAGGAAGGACATAGGATACTTTTTATTTCAGAAATCATCCCTTAGGGGGGTGATAATGGGGATGAATATTTCTATGTGAAATCAAGCTAGGGACGAACCTGAACGAAGCGAGGGTGAGTCGCTAGTAGTTTATATATATGTACTAAGTTTCATCCAAATCTGTCTAGCCTTTTGATAAGACATAATAAACATACACATATATACAAACTTTTGTATTTACTAGTGTGTTGATATCAGTTTTTAGATAGTGTAAATCCATCCATATAATGGCCAAACCACACGAGGAAGTATAATTTTAAATATTAGTGTAAATAAGAAACCCAACTTTGTTTCAGACTTTAATATTCTAATTACTGCTGTGTGCCACAATTCTTTTCAACATGAGCTTTGTTATCTTGTTGTGTAAGCAACACAACTAATAATAAAATGCTTAACTGAACCTAACTTAATAATGTATTTATATTTTTTTGTGACTTCTCATGCAATCAGTCAAAAGAATATGCTCATATTCTAGTGACTGATTTTCATTTGATGAAGATGAGTGCTGTGGAAAGAAATATGGAAATATTTCATAATGTGAATACTTTCTATTGGACTTTATGAGCACATATTAATGTGCCTCTTTTTTGATCTTCGCATGCTCTCTGGAATTGTTAGTTGCAAAGCTAATGGGTCCATTTATTTATAAAAAAAATTTATATAGACTGGACCAACAGTTATTGAGTTAAAAGCACACAGACAGAATTATGTATTATAACATGCAAGGAGGTTTTTGATTTTAATTCCATATTTCTAATAGCTCTATACTTTAAACTTTTATTACAGCGATAAAAACTAAGTACATGATGGAATGCCTAATCTAAATTATTTTATCTATGTTATTTAATTAAATTTAAAATTTCAATTTAAACTAAATTAGGACATATCTACTTATGGCGTGAACTAAAGATGTTAATACATAAAGTGCAATCTTAATATCCCATATTTAACACATTTAAAATCAAACCTAAGTAATATCTTCCATCCTTGTTCGACACAAGAACATCATCGCCGCAGTGGAAAGGGTTTGCATTACTCTTTTCCGTGTTGGTCGTAGAGTCTGGCATGGCATCCTGTGTTTCTTCTTCTTTTTTCTCATTCTTTTTGTTAGCACATGGTGCAATTGTCTTGTCAAAGTCGCTTAGAAGGACATCGATCAGTGACAATTGTGTTGATACCTCTTTGAAAAAAGAATGAGTCTAATTACTTAAGACATTCTATGTATTTTATCTCATATAAAATTTACTTAATATTTTCATTATTAGTTACCTATTGTAGATAATATATAAGAAATTTGTGGTATTTTTGATAACTTTTTTTTATGTATCTTAAAAAGTTATATAAAATAGCAGATGATTAAATTTAAAATACAAAAATAACATTTCATTAAATGCAGAAAAAAAAGTTACAAAAGTTAAAAAGATATATAATACATTCGCTAGAATTGTGCAATAAAAATATTAAGATACTGAAACATTTAAAACCTTTGTCATTGAAATTTAAGATTTAAGAACATTATCATCAGTATAACTTTTAAATATGAAGTACACAACAATATAAAATTAAAATTACATATATTTGTATAATTTCTATAAGCTTTATTAAAATAAAGGTTTTTCTTAATTATATTATACTCACTTGAAGTTACATGAGTCCATAAAAAGCCAGCAAAGAATAAGAAATAAATATATACAATTGATTTAAAACAAAATAATTGAAATATAATGTTTTATAATGTCATAAAGCTCAATAGAGAAAACTATTTATTTCATAGAGGTGTACTATTGAACAATAAAAAGGTTATTATGAAGTATATTGAGTAAAGGTTTTTTTTAAATATTTCACTTTTTTTTTATTTGAGAGTTTAAAAAATATCCATTTTTTATTAGTGTTGCAATTGACTATCAGATGTTAACTATGAAATACATGAAGTTTTTGGACATTGTTTATGATAATACTAATTTACTTAAATAAATGTCAGGCACCTATCTATATTTGCTGCTATAAGTGGAAAATAAATATACAGTAAGTATTTAATTCAATACGTTTTAATGTAAAATAGAAAGAAAGAAGTTACTACAATGGATACAAATGGAAAGTTGACGTGTTAAAAAGTGAAAATTAAATTGAGCCCTTTAGTCGTTTTTCTTGGTATAGGTGTAAATCGGTATATTATTGGTAAAATACTTAATTTAGATTAATTTGTATAATTTCTTTCACTGCACAGACATCAAAATACTATAGGGTAGAGTTTAAAATTTCAATTAATGAACATTTGAGTGTGACAACAAACCGGCACTTACCAGCGTTAATGTCCATCTTAAAATTGTTTTAACAAATAATGAGAAAAACGTAAAAACTTTATTTTAATTTCATCATTCATACTAGAACAAACACTAAAAGCATTGGCGCTATTGCGGCCATTATAGTAGTCAAACGTATCGCTGTTTTCCCGCGGTAACAAAATTATAAGTGATAAATATTAAATGAACATGCGGGTAATTTTATTATTAACGAGCCTAAAAGTCCATTTCATTGAATAAACTACAATAAAAATCATAAAAGAAACTAATATTGGTTAAAAATTCATATAAAATAACTCTCTATAAATCCTAATTCCTAAAGTCGAATATGAAAAATCTACAGAATACAGATTACAGACATACTTCACAGATACATATAAAGTACAGATCAAAAATATATTAAGGAAAGTAACAGAAAGAAAACATGTTAGGAAACCTATGTTAAAGAGATCGACAAAAATATATGAATTAAAACATATTAAACAGTACAATCTATAAATAGAATAAAACTTTATATAAAACTTTTTATGTAATAGAATATGTCTGTATAATTATTTATAAATATTGCTTAAATTTAAGAAAATATGGGCATTTTCACTTTTTATAAAATGGGGAAGAATTTTGACTTCTCCCCCGCCAAATGTCGCGATCACTATGGCCCTCAGTATATTATAAAGCTCTATCTATAGTCTGTCAAGAAAGAGTAGAAAATAATGGGGGCGCCACCATCGGGCGTTGGCCACACCATTTCCGGTATACTATAAAAGATTTTGATACTTTGATTAAATGCAGTTTTGAAAATGCACTTTACCTAGGCAATACCATACCAAAATTCATTTCATCAATTGTAGCTGCGATTTTATTCGCTAAAAGGGTAAATATAATATATATGAATAAGTCATACACACAAATCATAATAATTTATTTTATAAAAGAGATTCTTCATCTAGGTATTCTACTCCCTCGACTCCCATGTTTTCATGGCTACAGGCTGTAGCCTACAGCCGGCGGCCTCAAAATCAGTTACTTCATTTAAGTCTCCTACTCGCTCCATGTTTTCTTCCTCGAACTGTAGATTCAGATTTTCCTGATTAAATAATCCACAAAATAAGTACTTTCAAGTTTCATATTAATAATGTTGATTTAAAGCAAATGTAAAAATTATACTTTATTTGAAATAAGATTTAATTTAATATGTAATGAGTTTATGACCTACAGGTTACAATACAAACATGCGTTATGTATCAAATAATGTAAGTATCAAATAATTTATGCGGTCTATAACACAGCCTAAATGCGCTGTCATCGACGTTTGTAAACATAACCTAAGTGAAAAATGATTATTCTAAATATACCTATTATTAAGCTTGGTAGTGACCCATAATAGCTTTGGGTGGATGAATTATTATTTGATATAACACATTAAAACTCACAAATACCTGTCATTTCAGCGGTTCTTTTATAAACATTGTTCAGATCAGAAAGTATATTTTTGGCCTCATACTCCAAAAGACATCTTCTGTACACTCTATAAATTATTTCCCGAGCAGAACTTCGAATTGTTCTATTCATTTTCCTTACTTAAGACCAAATTTATCACGGTTTATAGACTTTAATTTTTATGGAAACGAAATTGAAAGTTTTGTTTACGTAAAATTTCAGGAAATGTCAATTTTGTCAGAATGTTGCCACTATAAAAAAATAATAGTTCCGTTTCTACACTTTCTTGACAGGCTATATATTAAGGAGTACGCGCGAACTATAGAGGGTAGCACTTCTGTCGAAAGTAGAGCGCCCTGGCGTTAAATAAAAAAATCATAGTTATGTAAACAGTGTAATAAATAATATTAGTTATGCCTGAATAATGCAAACAATAATAAAATTTGGTTTTTTACCGATAAAAAAGGCCAAAAATTATTTGAGTCAGGTCATGTTTTAAATGTAATTGAAACAGGAGATGAACATAAGCTATCAGTCATATCCTGCACAGTTGTCGCTCAACCCAGTGTTTCTAATGTTTACAGTGTGACAATTATTGTCAGTATTAAAAATTATTTTAATAAATTAACTGTTTGATATTGAAAGTAGTAGAAATCTGGTAATATTTAAGCTTTTTGAAAAGTATTTTAAACTTTGACAGAATAAAAAATTAAAAAATAAATGCTCAAAATGTTTAAAAATTTCGAAGTACAAATAATATTATTTTATAATTTGTAATCACTTAAAATAAAAAAAAAACTGATTATTATTATTTTCAATATGAATTAAATTTTTGAAGAAGCTGTAAAAATTATTATTTTTAGTCCGATACTAATCTTTTATTATTTATGAAAAAAAATTTAGAACTTGTCAAATACCTGTCAACAGTAGTATCATATTGATTATACACAAAATAATAATTAAAATTAATATTTTTTAAATTAGAAGAGTTTACTTACAATTGTTTTTTTACTGCGTTTATCCATTTGTAACGTTTGAAGTTTATCCACGCAGCGTTCAATGAACTTTCAGGGAAACGATAAAATTTCAACTGAGTATTATTTTTATATGGCATATTGGAAGAACCACGAATACAGCAAGATCATTTTGATGAAGTCATCACAAAAACTTATTTTAATTAACAAAAAATAATTAATTAAAAACGCTAGTAATGCAAAACTAATACTGTTTACCATCACTTTCTTTGTGTTTTTTCGCAGCAGATGTCATAGTGGTCATCTTTCTCACTCCCTATAGCGTGGATGGTTCTTTTTTCATTTTATAGAAAATGAATACAATTTGTTCTCAAAAGATAAAAACTGATGAAATTGTGAGCTAAACCAATAAGACGACCAAAAATGGGGAAATCACAATCTTTATATTTAAAGCTATGTGTACCTTTTTTTTTTAACGTTGGGAAATGCATTTACGCACGACGTGTGGGACTCACCGGCGTAATACAGCCAGTACTACCCACTAAAACCCAACAAAACCTTCCCCCGTCTTAATGAGGCGTCGCAGGATCGCTTACGCATTCAACTACGACGCCCCGACGGCAGGTCTGCCGAAGCAGACCACCACAACCATGGGGTTGCTCCAAGGTCCACTCTGCTATCAGAGAAGTACCAGGAGCAACCCGCATGGTACACCTCCCTCCGAAGAGGGCGACCTCCCACCGCCCACCGAAGTGGGCAACCTCCCTGTGCGTTTCTTAGCTTCGCGCCCGGTTGGATTGCCGAGCACTACTGAGCCCCCCCGCCACGACAAGGTGAACGCACGTTGGAGGGGAAGCTATGTGTACCTGATTTTACTTTTTTTTTTGTTGTAGACGGAGTGAAGTATGCTGAGTTCAAAATTTAAAATTTTTCATGACTAAAATAATTAATGAAATACCAATATACAAAAACTATTTGCATAGTATATAAATAATTTATTAAATATACCTATCTTTGTATATTTCTCTATCTTACTTTTCAGCTTCCTTTAAAATTTATCCTACTCTACCGCAGCGCTACTCTTATTGGACGCGTTTTGACGGACACTTTTTCATACATAGTGACTCCTTCTTTACCTCTGCGTTCCATCATAATATTTTTTATGCGAGCTGTCAAATAGAATCTGATGACATTGACAAATTGACAATGAGTAAATAACAAAAGTCAAAAGTGAAAATTGATAAAGAATTTTTGTGTAAAATAATTTTAACTCGTATTGGTGAACTCAATTTAATTATCTGTATAGAATTATTGCAAAGTTTAGAATATAAAGTGTTTTTAATAATTTTGTGTAATTCATTCTATTTAATGGGCAATTCCGGCCTTAAACAGCATTATGAAACAGCATCAAAAACGGGAGTTCTTCGGATATCTGATCATAAGTTAAAGGAAATACCAGAAGATGTCTTTAGTTTATCGGAAAGTCTAAGGAATTTGGACTTGTCTAAAAATAAAATATCTCAAATACCAGAAGATTTAAGCTTGTTGAAGCTTTTAAAACAACTAAATTTAAGCTCAAACAACATTCAAATTATACCAGCTTCGTTGTCTAACCTTAAAAAACTAGAACTACTTAATATATCTTTCAACTCCATATCAACATTGCCAGACTCACTTTTAAATTTAAGTAATTTAAAACAAATATATTTAAATAATAACAAATTTAAAACATTCCCTAAACAGCTGTTAGGCCTTCACAGCTTAGAAGTTATAGACCTTTCCAATAACAAGATGACAGAAATTCCTAGTGGCATGTCAAATCTTTATGTAACAGAGTTAAATGTGAGTCAAAATGAGATCTCTGCTTTAAGTGAAGACTTATATCTAGCACCAAGATTAAAAATTTTGAGATTAGAAGAGAATTGCTTAAGTCTCGATGCTATTTTACCAAGTTTGCTCAGAGATTCCAAAATTCATACTATTAATGTAGATGGTAATCTCTTTGAACCAAAACAATTAGCATCTTTGGAAGGTTATAATGAATATACAGAAAGATATACAGCTATGAAAAAGAAAATGTTTTAATAATAAGATTATAAAGAAATAAAATTTTGAAGGAACAAAATATTGTGAGACAACATTATGAATCAGCTTTAAGAAACACAGGCAATGCCGCGATTGTATTTGTAATAAAATTTTAATGTATTTATAATTAATAGTTTTCATATTTATTTTGCACTAGCTTAATACTTAAATTTTTTTAATGTCTTTATTATTATAAAATATTTAATATAATAAAATTTATTTTATTTAACTGAAAATTGTGTATTATTTTCATTCAAAATTAATACCTAATATCCTAAAAGTAATATTTTCAACTAAAACTAGTCAGATGTTAGGTTATGATGGATAGCTTTTGTGGAAATTACTACATATAACTTGAAAGAAATTAATATATATAAGTGAATCAAAATATATTTCATTAGGCTTTATCATACTAGCAGATGCCCACAGCTTCCCTTGCGCTAAAGCTACAAAAAAGCTTTGGCTTTATGCAAAAGGCATTTTTAAATTGGGCTCAGCAGTTTCTGAGCTCAAAGCACTTAAACATATTATAGATATTTATAACATCTACAATAATGTATGAATTTCAGACTGATTTGTTGACATTTATGATTACTGCTCCATCTCCCAGGGTATTAGCACAGATCACATAATAGTATAGCAGTCCAGATGCCTCATCCCATACAAAGAAATTGGACAGTGCTAATTCGGGTTATTGTTCAGGCTATTTTTGTTTGCTTGAATAGATAATAGATGTTGATGAATAGTTAAATGTTTTGTTTTATAAATATGTGCAAACTAAGTTATGGTAAATATTCAAAAAATCATCCTGCATTTGAATAAAAAATATATCTGTGATTATAACCATTTTTAACAGTGATAAATTATCCATAAAATGTAAAAGCATAATCTGTGAATATATACTACAAACTTATCATCTTATTGCTGATATTCCAATAATCAGTAAAATTACGCAAATTTGATTTTCGAGCGCATTATTTCGTTTTTCTTCACTTACAATATTTTATAATACAATAATAATACACCTTTTTACGATCTTTTTTTTTCTTTTGTTAATTTGACAAGTATATTAACAAATCGATAAATGTAACGTCATCTATTGACATATATTTGAACTATTTTTTCTTTGTTTCTGATGAGACCCCATGGTATATTTACTAAGAATTATTTTTTCAATAATCATATTAATATTTGTTTTGTACATTATTAAATTTCAATAGCACATTTAATACATCATTAGCATTCGTTCTTTAAACATTTTATACTTATTAATTGTAATACGAATCACGCTCATTAGTATGTTTTTCATTGATACTATGTATATAGGAACTTTGCTCGAATTAATTACTACAAAAAATGCGTGCGCCTTCATTTATCAGTGGATGATGACGCGAGCGCGCTGCAACAAGCGCTAGTTGTTGTCGCACACTCACGCTGTACTCTGCGACCGTTGAATGGCATCTCAATATCGAATAGTCAATGAACAGTGAACACAGAACAGTGTTGTTTGGAAGTGCGGGGCGCACACGTGTCTGACCCATATTTTTTCGTTTTGTTTTACAACAAATGGGACTTGCTTTTCTTATACGTGAGTTAAAGTTATTATTACTTTGTAATATTGTTATAGTGTTTTTAATGAATTAATTTAAAAAAATCGTATTTGAATGTTTTTTTAATTTTATTTTTTTATTATGAAAATATGTAGGCAGATAAAAGTTCATAATCTATAAAAGTTTGTTTCGTGTTGTTACGTTATTTTCAAAATTTTATTGGAATATATAAAATTTGATTTCTTTTCGTACTATAACTTACTTAATTGATTCTGAATTCGAAACATTAAAATTTGTTTCACACTTACGGGTGATTTTATTATAAAACCTTTGATGCATTTTAAATAAACCGGTAATTCAATTCATTAAATATATATTATATAGATATTATGATAATTTTTTAAATTGACATAACTTTTTTATTTATGAACTGATCGAAATAAAACAAACACTAAATGTTAAGTGAAGCTCACCTACTACAATATATAATATGTAAGTGGAAACCTCACCCGAATTGGTTAAGCAGTTTCTGAGATTATCGCGCCCAAACGCACAGACAAACGGACAAAAATTCAAAAAATCATTGTTTTGGGTTCCATTGTGTTAATATAGATCCCCAATAATAGTTTTTCTCAAAGGTCTTCCATGTACTGACAGCGATCAGTTACTTTATTATATGTAGGTATGATGAATAATGATGATATGATGATCACCCAACGGTAAGAATATATTTCGGAATACCTAGGTATAATATAAATAGTTAATTCCTTTTTTATACCTACTGTTTATCTTTAGTTATCACTATTTAGGTGCCTACCATTTAGACTCATAATGTTTACAGTTCAAAGTTAATTAAATAAGTATGTAATATCTTGCATGTTTATTTTATGACGTAGATACTTTAAGTGTAAAGTTAAATTTTCATTGCATTATCCAATCTACCTACATCTAGGTTTGGATTTTGTAACATGGCTACCTACCTATTCAATTTAAATAGATCAAGCGTAAAGAAATAAGTTGCAATAGGTATTTACTGTGAATTTGATTATTAAAGCGAATACGATATGGGATCTGCTGGCTTACTCTTGAAACTGTTTTTTTAAATGTTAAAATCAACAAAACATTCAAAGCTTTTAGTACGTATTACAACTATATTTTACAGTCATGTCAGCTTGATATAAACAAATTTTGATTACATCACTAAATTGTTATACTTATTAATAACTAGCAGAACCCGCGGCTTCGCTCGCGCTAAAACTACAAAAAAATCTCTAAAAACCTAGTTTCATACAAACTTTCATCCCCTATTTTACCCCCTTATAGGATGTATTTCGGAAAATGCTAAAACTTATTTAATTAATTTTATTGAAGGGCATTAATACCAAGTTTCAGGTAATTCTTATCATAAATATTTTTTTGAATTGTATTATAACGTGTTTTCCTTTAGGAATTAGATAATCTCCCGCGGTAAAAAGAAGCCTATGTCACTCTCCAGCCCTCCGACTACTTTATCTCCACAAAAAAATCACGCCAATCCGTCACTCCGTTTCGATGTGAAAGAAAGGCAAACAAACAAACACACCTTCATATTTATAATATTAGTATGGATATTATTGTTTATTAAAATTAAACTACATGATAGCTTAAGTACACATATGTCTGAAATCGTTTGAATAATTTGACTTTTTTTATTACCTAGTATAATTGATTTATTCATTCCTTTGGTACATAAGTACACATATCAAAACCCACAATTATTTTAACATAAAATACAATTTATTATAATGGCTTTAAGATGTAGGACACTATTTACTTTTCGAAATTAATGCTAACTAATTTTGGTAATCTCGTTCTCGAATATAAAATTTACACCCTCGCTTCGCTCAAATTCGTCCCTAGGTGATTCTTTAAATTGACATAACTTTTTTTGTTTATAAACCGATTGGAATAAAAAAACCTATAAAAAAAACTAAATGTAAAGAGAAGCTTATCACAATACATTAGTGAAAACCGCACCCAAATCGGTTAAGCTGTTTCTGAGATTAGAGCGTACAAACGCACAGACAAACCGACAAAAATTCTATAAATCATTTTTTTGGGTTCTATTGTGTTAATAAAGATCCCCAATAATAGTTTTTCTCAAATATCTTCCACGTACAGACAGCGATCAGTTACACTTTTATTATACATATGTATAGACTAGTGGCTCACTCTCGCTTCGTTCGGGTAACGGGTTCGTACGTTTTTTTTTAATTTTTAGTATGAAATAAATAGATTATATTATATTATTGTATATATACATAGGTATGTTGAATTGTTGTGGGTATTATTATAGTGTGTTTTCCCGTGGGAATGACATAATCTCTCGCGGTAAAAAATAGCCTATATCAATCAATTCAGCGGCCAGCCCTAACAGTATCTCCACACAAAAAAATAAAAATCACACCAATCCGCTATTCCGTCTCGACGTGAAGGAAGGACAAACAAAGAAACACACTTTCATATTTATAATATTATTATAGAATATTAATAAGTAAGTATAGTATAGGTATACATCGATCAAAAAGTACTTTTTTGATCGATGAGTATATAGCATGGACTAACGAATTACTTACCTAGTCTGTTCTGTAAGTTGTTGATTTTTTTTAATGTAAGTACCTATTTAGTACCTAGTTAAGGTTTAGCCAGTGTTATTAGCCATGTCATTTTCTGAGGACTACTCAATGGAACCAGTTATTGTGTTTTCCGGTGATAATGAAAGGTTTTCCTGTAGTAAACTTTTGCGTAAAATGTACACAGACAGATATACAGAAAAATAGATAAAAATTTAAACAACTATTGTTTGACTTTGAGGTCTATATTCTGTACCTACAATGTACACAATTCGTAATACTCGTTGGTTTTAAAAAAAAAATTATGCACAGATTTCGCTTTGTTACTATTTTATTAATTATATGTATAGATTAGATTTTTTTATTAACAGCTGCGAAACCGGATATCGGATTATAGCATAGTTATGAAATATCGCTTCGACAAAACAAATATTATAGGTATAGTTGACCTCAATTAGTAAAGTCGTTCAGAAGTTGCACAATGATTATGCTTATAGTTATATAAAGACATAATTTGTTTTTTAAGTTTTAACCAATTTCAAGAAGAGGAGGTTCTCAATTCGGGTGTATGTATGATTTGTGTATAATTATTACGCGATATCCTCGCATATTGTGAACTGACTGATTTTGATGATAATTTTGATAATGGATAGGCTAAAGGTACTAGCTCTCTTTCAATCAATCAATTTTTTTTCATATTTTTTCACATTTTTCATTTTTTTAAAGTAAAACTTCTTTGCTTGACTAGGGGGGTAAGCTGGTGAATGTGTTACGAAAAAATGTACGTACGTTTGTTGCCATGGTAACCGTTGTTGTTGTCTGACAAATGATATAT